TCAGAAGGCATGGTGAAATAGAAGCACGCACTTACAAACACGCAAATTAAACGCTGAAAAATCTCAAGATACGTAGGAATGAGGAATAACTGGTTTTCAGCTATAAAACCACGACACGCGTTGTGGTCGCTCTCCAGGCGATTGACCACCTCTCGACGGCTCAAGCCGAGGGCCGAGTCTCGCAGAAGACATGCGCTAGTCGCAGGAAAAGCAAATATAGACGTTACTTATATTTACTATTGTGCGAATAGTGGTTATCTGTTGTTTATAAATAAATAGATATAATGTGGTTAATTTTATGTAATCTCTTGTTTTTTTAGTAATTTTATTTGTTAATTACTTTCTGTATATAATTCAATCTGTAAATATAAAAAATTGGTTTGGTCTCTTTAAATCGCTAGTCACTTTCAGCTTGGTGACTTTATAATTTATAGTTGGGCGGTAGGATAGGGACACGCAATTAGCCGCCTTAACGAACGCTCTAAATAAATATCACTTCTTGATTAATATCACGCCTTGATAAATATGTTGTTATTAATCACGGCACATTTTGTGGTCAGTTTGGGACTTCGGGTTTTGGACAAATAATTGAGTGCTGTTAAAAAGGGCCTAAATATTGTTTTTGTTTTGTAATACCCAGCCGTACCGTACGCAAATTTAGAGATTGTTGTTTTTTAAACTAGAACCTATATTTTGTAAATGGATTATGAGTTTCAAGACTGTCAAGAACCTTAAGGATTTTAACATAGGGAATCTGGTCTGGGAATAGGTCATGCTATGTCTAGAATCTAACCCCCTATTGATCATTCGAACACTTCATTTCTAAACACCTAACTTTGTTTCTAAGCAGTGAAATTTTGTAAGTAAGTACTACAACGTTCAATCATTGTACACATGGAATTAGTATTAAAAATAAAAAAAGCATTGTTTGGTTTAAGCGTGCGACCCAAACCCTGAGGTTCTGCGTTCAAATAACAGCATTACACTTTCTATGTGCAATTAACACATGATACTATGGTTATGGCAAACATCGTGAGGAAACCAAACGCATGTCGCAAACACAAAAACGACAACATATATGTAAGATTAGTTTTTAAGTTTTTAGTTGGTTATGAATATTTTTTTTGTATTACATTCGATTAAGGTTCTATATTTTTTTATATAACATTTGGTTCTATACTTCTTGCACTCATCATGTTTCTTTTTAAGCTATTGTATAGATTTAATCGCAGGCTTTGAGCGCGGCAACCGAATCAAGAAATTCCGTAACGAAATAAACCTAACACATGATGACGTAATATAGGTGCGGCCAATACGCGTTAGAGCGGCACAGAACGCATACTGCGTCTCACATCGGTTTAGCGTGATCGTATAGGCGTGTTAGTCTGAGTCTGGTAGAGTGGTAGATTGAATTAATATCAAAGAAAAAATACTGCAAAAAATAAATAAATAATTATATTGCATAAGTTTATAAAAAATGCTATGCAATAGCTTAACCGCGGCAGTCCCCGAGTGCCACACGTATTTTTTAGTTTTTCTCTTAATAGGGTTGTCTGGAAGAGATCGCTTATAAGCGATAAGGCCGCCCCTTGCATCCCTTATTATATTGTGTTAATTGTGTTTCTTTAATTTTTATTGCAACGAAGTGTGAATAGTGAATAAATAAATAAATATATCAGACACCGAATGGATCCCACTTGTCTATAGAACTATAAAAATTATCAAAGAAACGGATGCAATCTGAGGTCAAGATATACAGAGTTGTAGTGCCTTTATCATTATTATTAAAAATAAGATTAGGCAAATCATGAAAATTAAAAGAAGATTGCATATGTATTGTTCGATTTTGTAAACCGTAAAAAAATATTAATACCGAAATATGATATTATGTAGATGCATTACCGAGGTCATTGAGATTTTTCAAGAGATCGCAGTCTAATGGGAATGCATTAAAAAGCCTGCAGCCCCGTTGGAATACATCCAGTTTTCACGAAATACGAACTGATAACCTTCTTGAATAGAGCATAACTTACATATTTATAAGTTGCATGAAATACTGGCATATTTATTTACGAAATTCCTATTTATTTTATTATTTGTATGATCCAGATATTGCTTATAATTTCTTACATTTGTATTTATTTATAAGTAATCTTACAGCTACACATAAAAAAAAACACTTAGACAATATACAAAGCCAAAACATAATATGCGAAACAGAAAACATATTAAGTCAATTAATTACATTAATAGATAAAACAAAGAAAATTTAAATTTAACAATAAACAAACTACCTACGTGATATTTTAGAAAAAACTTAATTGTTACTACTGAAAAGTAAATTCATAGTCTTTCCGCTTCTTAAAATATTTCCTCACACCCTCTTTAGTAAGGTGGAAAATGTCTACGTCAAAAATTGTATTGTAGTTGTAGTCTTGCTTTTCATTTCTAATACTTCGTTTGTTTTACATATTTATATGCCCTGTCAGAGTACGAATTAAAAAGAAGTGTAGAAAAGAGACAATTGCTTTGTTAAATAATCAGTGGTTGAGTTTTCATATGACTTAACAATTATATAATACTATAAACAGTGTATTGCTCGGTGAGATAAAACTTAAACACTCAAAAGGGAGGACTACAATGAATTTTTATTAAATATAAATTGTTTCCTTAAAATAATACTCGCGTAGACAACAGAGGTTCAAAAGTGCGGCTATTTCGAGGTTGCGTAATATGTTAGGGTTTTTTAAGGCGCTGGTTTTAGATACGCAATGCTAGCTAATGGATAGATAAGGAACTAAGTCTGGGTCAACAACTTATTTAGTATGACTTTTTGGCTGTTTTCAATTGTTTTCTAAGTATCAACTGAAAAAACTATTTTTGCTTTTTTTAATATAACAGGGAGCAAACGGGCAGGAGGCTCACTGATGTTAAGTGATACGCCGCCCATGCCAAAAGGCTGGCAAGTGCGTATCCGAACTTTTAGGAATTGGCACGCTCTTATCTTGAAGAACCCTAAGTCTAATTGGTTCGGAAATACTTGAGAGGGCAGCTGGTTCCACAATGGTAGGGCGAGGCAAAATCTGCCTTTAAAAACGCTCAGCTGGGGCGTGAGTTTTCATAAAACAATCCAGTTGAGATGCTGATGAGTTTAGGTTACTAAATTCAATAGCATTTTTAGTACCATGATCATGGTATGAATGAGCGATGGTTCCCAGTTGTAGGTCAATAGGCTCGTTGAGGTGATACGGATGGTATTTTGTATTCTGTCTCGACGTCCGATGATGAAGCAGATGCAGGTATTAATCTACTAACTCCTCTGAACACTCTCCATGGTAAAGGCGGTACAAGATACAGAGACCCCACATCTTTACACAACGGAGTGTATCCGCTCGGATTTTTGGAGACGCGTCACGCAATTATTGACCCCATGTAACGCGCCGTAACGTTTTTCTGTACCCATTAGTAAAACGTTTCGTGACCACCCAGTGAGTCTTTATATACCTAAAAGTTACCATTATGTGTGTAAGGAACTGGGAAGTCGAAAATAATATTAACAATAACGCATAATTCAATCCCCGCCCCGCATCGAAACGTTTTACACAAGGAAACTCACCCCCCACCAAAATTCGTTACGTAATACTTGAACGCTCACTTATCTTGTTGGTTCAATTCCTCCTGTTTTAGTAAATTGCTTCGTATATTTAAATAAAACAATAATATTCCTTAAAATAAATTTATTAGCAGAAATAATACAATCTTTGCAGAATGTTATTTAATCAAACTTATATTTTTAAAAAAACGTACTTCTACTATATTCACCAAGTTCCATTTAACCCTTACGGATATTAATATAAACAAAATGTACAATTTGTTAATAACATATTTATTACATCTATAATGGCAAAATAGTATACAACCACCTAGGTTCTACATTAGAGCAAGACGTCGCCGTATGTGACGCGAAATTGGAAGCATTGTAGACATTTTTATTTCTTGAATATTTTCTGACAGTTCCGACTGTCAAACCGAATTCAATTGTGAATCTGTCAAACATTTAACATGACGTTGGCTTTTGAAATACATGTCTATCATAAGAATTATATGCTTATTTATAAATTGACAAAAATCGTATTAAAATATATATTATACTAACAAAAACACATATGTGCCTTCTACACAAAAAAACGTGCAAAATATATACATAGTATATATTATATATATATCTTTAATTTTATAGATATTGACAAGTACATATATTTCTTAAAGCTATGTCATAGGAAATAGTATATCACAATTATTATGTGCACTTCAAGCCTAGTAACTTAAAACTTGCCAAACATATTAAGTAAAATGTATTGAAATTAGTTATTAGAGTGGTATTACTCGTATTTTATCACTTTATTCTACATAAAAAAGGGTTTTAGCTAGAAATAAAAAATATTGTCAATAGTCAAAAAATTTATAATTCCAATAAAGTCGCAAAAATGGGTTCGTTACCCATAAGAAAGTGTCTTTATTCAATACAAGTAACAAAAACTTAAATAACAATTCATACCGTGACCAATGGTCGGGATATACAATATATAACATATATTGAAGTCAAAATAATTCAGACAACAATAATTCTAGTTATTAAAAAAAATACTTTCGTACGGTCTTTTCTTTATGTATTTACGGATCATTTTGACGTGACAACCTCTAATAAATCGATCGGAAAAAGCATGACTCATTGTCCCGTTACGCTCATTGTTCCGTTACGCTCATTGTACGCTTGCGCCGCATGTATCTTTCTTCTACTCGAAGACTAAGTATGCAATCATTTCATCAATGTTTTGATATGACGTTGTCACGTTGAACTATCGTCCGTAAACCGACTTAGACAACCGCGTACTAAAAAATTAGTACGTGATAGTAACCTATTCGGTAACGAACGTTTGTTATGACCCGTAAAATATAACCGTTAGTAGTTTATAAGGAACGAAAAGTTTATTAGTAGTTTATAGTGGTATATACTCTCGAAGCTGTTTCAGTACGTCCTTGTGCGTAGATTGCAGAAGACGGTCATATGCTTCTGGACCAACTTGGTTTTTCAGTGTTTGTAGCTGTTTAAAATAAACAAGAATTAAATAAATTTGTCTGCTAACACCGCATTTTGATTTTTTTTAAGATTCCTCTACAGAGAGATTTTACTAGGGCATCATAAATATGAGTAGATCGCAAGCAGAGCCAGCCAGCGATGCAGTTAAAGAGCCAGGAGACTACCATGAGCACTGTTAAAACGACCCAGCTCTGATGATGTTTCATTCAACTGGCTGGTTTAGGGAGCGTTCAAGTATTACGTAACGTAATTGGGTTTTGGTTGGGGTTTCCCTTTTGTAAAACGTTACGATACGGGGCGCGGAATTTAATTACGCGTTATTGTTAATATTATTTTCGACTTTCCAGTACTTTAAACCACATAATGGTAACTTTTAGGTATAAAGAGTCAGTAGGTGGTCACGAAACGTTTTACTATACTTGGGTACAGTACTGTACTTGATACAGAAAACGTTACGGAGCGTTTCATGGGGGGTCAATAATCTCCAAAAATTGCGAGACGTAATACTTGAACGCTCCCTTATTCGATGTTATGGTATGAGTAAGCAGTAGATTATCAATTGGCTCGCAATAGGAGCCCATGACCGGCCCTTGCAATATATAACCAGTGTAGTACCTGGTGGTGTATCACTGCGCGTAAGTCCAGCGCATGCGCGGGATGTGCGGCTGCGAGCCTGCGCCTCCGAGTCTCATGTGGCGTGCGCACACTACTCACTGCCGCTTCCTCCCCTCCTTCCCACCGTGCCGCACCCCCGCGCCCTTCTAGGGGTGACGCAGGTCGGGAACCAGGCGGTGCGAGGAGACCACTGAAATATTATTAGTTTTTTGAAAAGAGAAACGTTTATTTAATATTATTTTCAATTAATTAATGTATTTTAGAAAAAAATATGATTTTGGCTAATTATAGTAAATATTTTTTTATTGTGCGTGGATAAACTATTCTTTATATTTTTTAAATAAACAAACAGTTTGATTTATTTTTATACTATTATATATGGCAGTTATTACCAGCGCCATTGCTCCGACACGGCCATCCTAACATTCACAATAATGACTGCAGTTATTTTTTTGATTATCCCAATGGCATTAATATAAATTATTTTTTATACAACTATACAGCATGAAAAATACAATAAAATACTTAAATACATTAAAATATAATAATACGTGTAATACAAAATATTTTCGTTTTCTTTTCGTATAAATTGTATTTAATTCCTTAACTCTTTAGTGTATATGTAAAGGAAATTGTAGTGGTGTGGCCTTTTATCCACTAAGGTTAAATCCATTAGGGGGGTGTTTTTGGTGATTTTACTCTTAGTTTACTTATAATTTTTAAGCAATAAAATAAATTCTCAATAATATTTTTTTATAGTAACTTCAGTGTAAAACTTACTCGACGTAAGTCCCGCCATCTTCCATTTTCATAACATCATTTAATACTTCAGCCAAATTGAGAAGAATTGCAGGAAATAGTTGCAACACTGTGGAGTTCTGTGTTGTCAATAAGGCAGCTAAACCTAAACCTGTAAATTATACTTTAGTTACTTTAAATAGTTCACTCATATATCGACTGAAACGAGAAAACGCGCTGAAGGGTCAATTAATTATAGCAATTATAGAACTGGGGGCAAACGGGCAGGAGGCTTATCTGATGTTAAGTGATACGACCGCCCATGGACACTCACACTGCCAGCTCGCAAGTGCGTTGCCGGACTTTTTAGCATTGGTACGCTCTTTTCTCGAATGATCCTAAGTCGAATTAGTTTGGTAATACCTCAGTGGCCGTTGGTTCCAGAAAGTATGTAACATTCAATTTAAAAAAGAACGTGGAGTATTTAGAAACAAACGGACTACTACTAGTATACAATTCGTTTATAAACAATTTATTTGTTAAATTAATCGTCAAGCAACGATCATTGACGTAGACGAACACATGACGAATCGAACGCACAAACCAAATTTTAGTTAAAAGTATCAATATCTCATACAACTTTTATTTCCTTAGTAGGTGATCAGCCTTCTGTGTCACACGCAATTTTAAGTCTAAAAAATGAATTTCCTCAGTTCTTCACCGTACGAGCGAGTGTTATATGTGCATATAGAGCATTGTTACATAGCGATCGAATCTACGGCCAAAGGAGCGTTCAAGTATTACGACACGCAATACCCCCCATGAAACGCGCCGTAACGTTTTTCTGTAACCAAAAGTAAAACGTTTCATGACCACCCAGTGAGTCCTATTTATATACCTAAAAGCTACCATTATGTGGTGTAAAGTACTGGAAATAACGCGTAATTCAACGCGCTTCGCATCGTAACGTTTAACAAAAGGATAAAATTCGTTACGTAATACTTGAACGCTCCCCAAGCCATTTTGTAACAAATTATGAATAAAAAAGAAATTTATTAGTGTCAGTACGCGCTACACAATACACGTTATTTATTACCATACAACACACCATACAATTGTCCTAATACTCACCAACAACTTTCCACCTCTCAACTTTCATGATACAATTCATTTTTTCAGTCCAAACATGAAGCAATTTATTCAACACTTTAACAGGATCCGACTCGTATTCCGGAAGACTTTTAGAGGCTTCTTGCACTGCTTTGTAGAAGAGATCTGTCGACAGCAGTATCACGCGGGACAGAAGGCACAGTTCGACGGAAAACACCATTTGAAGGTCGTCTTTCTCTACTAAACAGCTGAAAATATAGTGTAAATTAATTGTTGTTACAACCAAATTGTTGTTACAACCAAATTGTTGTTACAACCAAATTGTTGTTACAACCAAATTGTTGTTACATCCAAAAAAAGTTACAAAAAAATTGTTCATCAGAAAATGTTAAGATCGAGTCAAATGACAGTTGATTTTTGTTGCTTTGGTTAATCGTTGAGATTTCTTCTATTACTTTTAAGAATCATAATTTAATTCGTTATTTATTATTTAATTGTTTCTTGTTAACAATTAACTGATGGTTTACTCCCAAAAATCTGTAATAAACAAAACTATTTTTTTTATCCAATTGATTTTAGATGAATCTCCAAGGAGAAGTGATGGTCACCTCGCAAGGAGCTTCGGTTGGAACTGGAAGAACACAAACAGTCAGTACTTTTAAAATTATTAATTTTTTTTTCTAAAAGTTCTGTCATGTCGAAACCTCATTTAATGAAACTACGTTTTTACTTCTATAAAATAAATTAATTTACTGGAAAAAAAAGTCTCTGCATTCACCTAACCCCTTAAGTGACGAGGGTTCACTGACATGATGGCTTACCCCACAATTTTTGAATACTTCATTTTTTTAATGTTTGGCTTTAAAAATACACAGACAATATAATATAATTTATACGGTAACAGCGGGTCATCTAATATATCTCTAAAACATTATACTCACTAAACAACTCTTTTCAAAATAGGCCAGATAACTTCCACGCCCAAATACGGATTCCTTTCCGGGTACACCACACTGACGCATATTTCCGCCATTTTGAGAGCAGCGATCACACCCTCCGTCCGCATATCGCTCAACATATCGTCCAATAAGGCCATACATTTCCCTCCTTCGCATGAGAAAAATTCCTCGGGACATAGTAATGCATATGCTTGCATTATATACACAACTATACGGAGGTGTTCCGATGACGTTTCTAAAATTATAAATATTTATTTATCAACATGACAAATACAAATGTGTAAAAAAATAAATAAAAGTTATAATTATAGAAGGGTCCATAAATTGTTTAACGAATATTTTTTTTATAAAACTATAAGTAACACAACTAAATATAAAAATAATAGGCACGAAAATGCAAATAACAATTTATAGTGCGTAGACAAAAGTCATTTACAACAACGATTTTTAAATCGACGGTCTTAAACGCTCCCTAAGAAAAATTATTAATGTCATTAAATTGCAATTTCTTTATTAAGGAAAAACCATTATCAAGAGATGCGATGAGAATATTTAAAAATTCTTTTGTAGTTGTTGTAAAAAATTAAGTTATTTTTAAATATCATTTGGTTATCTATTAAGGGCCTCATAGCCTAGCGGTCTTATTAAGTGGCAGCTAGGTGAGGGGTACCGGGTTCGATTCCCGGTTCGAAGGCACGTTTTACATTGTTTAAAAATTTGTTCTCGGCCTTTGGGAGGGTTGTGAGGGGCGAGTGCTTAAACCGTACATGGAGGACACGGTCGAATTTCTAAGGCAAGCACGAATTATAAAAATCTTATACTTGACGCTGGCTAATGCACAAACCGTGCCAGAGCCATAAAAAAAATCATATATTATTTTTCAATTGTTATTATTGCGTCCTAACAATTAAAACTTTATTGGCACTGTTTTAAATTGTTTATAATTATCCATCCCAGCATTTTATTTTTTTAAACAAATTAGATTACATTTATATTTTGTACTTGTATTAGTAATAGTTTTCAAATCCATATTTAAAATAATTCATCTCATGTGATACCGACAACCACCGGTCGCGAATGCGTTGCCGGCAAAAATAAACATCGTACCGATTATAGGATAGAGATTCTTCGCTAACTCCAATAACTGGGGATCCGGAGTTTCGGTGGCTTCCAACACAGCTAGCCATAACTCCAGAGCATCTTCCAACAAATAAACGTGTGCTGGCTCGTTGAGCCGCGTGGATTCGTTCACAACGCATAGGATCCACGGCCGAATGCTATCTGCGCACTCCCCTACCGCCTAAAAATTAAGTCAAGTCAAATAATTTATTCCAATAAGACCACCTAAAATGGCACTTTTGAACGTCAAATAAAATGATTCTAGTTGCCCCTTCGAAAAGGTAGTTTCGTGTCGAGAAGAATGGGCAAGAAACTCAACACTTACTCTTTTAAAATAGTGTAAACCTATTATATATAGTAGTAGTGTTGGTTCAGCGTGCGACTCTAATCCCTGAGGACGTAGGTTCAATCTCCGGCTGTGCACCAATGGAATTTCTTTCTATGTGCGCATTTAACATTCGCTCGAACGGCGAAGAAAGACATCGTGAGGAAACCGACATATCTTAGACCCAAAAAGTCGACGGCGTGTGTCAGGCACAGAAGGCTGATCATCTACTTGCCTATTACATTGAAACAGATTCAGAAATCTGAGGCCCAGACCTAAAAGAGGTTGTAGCGCCACTGATTTATTTTTTTACAATATTTTGTATACATTTGTTAAATAAAATATATGTGAAGACAATGTACTCCTAGGATAAAACTACTAAAAAAAGTTAAAATATATGTTCCTCACATATTTACAAATATCGAAACCGTAGAATATTATACATTAAATATAAATTCAATTTATTATATATTAAATAATAAGCCATGAAATTCAGTAACGAAAATTCGTTTAAAAAAATACAGGGAAAGATAAAACCAAATATAGAAATAAAAAAGGTATTGTTGTGCGCAGTGTTAATTTGCGTACAGTAACGTGCATTGGAATTGCGTACAGTAACGTGGATTTTTGTAAATTATCCAATATTTTTATTTTTCTGCTATTTGGGACTGAGGATTAATACAACAAATCAAACACCATGAATATCTGTCGAACCGTTGTCGAGTTATGTGATGAACAACGCCCATATCTTAATATGTACAGTCAAACCTGGATAAGCGAGAGTTCAGGGAGCACAATCTCATTCTCGCTTAAAGAGGTTTCTTACTAACCCAAGTTTCTCGCTAATGCAGGTACATGGGTAGCGTTTCTCTCTTATAGAGGTACGCAGCAATAACAAGTCACAGCAAGTACGAATGTAGTAAATATGTAATATGATAAAATTTTGTGCATAACGTGCACAACATATAATATGTACAGGTTGGCCAAAAAGTCGTGGATCAAAAGCAAATAGGGGATAGATGAGGTCATCAGCTGCTAAAAATTGTTCCACGGGAGGTCTCTAAGCCCAACCCCTGCAGAGTTATATATTTATTTAGTGCTTATTTACACTTTAAAAAATCCGTCAATTTTGTTTGGGTGTCTGCTTTTGTATTTTGAATGTTTTTCTCTAACTCATAAATTTTGTCGAATATTGCTTGTATTTTTTATTGTAGCTATATAGTTCCTTCTAAATAATATAAATAAACAAAGCTCGACTGTCGCTTATAGAGGTATAGAGAAGTAGCAGTCTCACTTACGGAGGTGCATGAGGGAAAAACGACTCTCTCTTACAGAGGTTTCTGTTTCTCGCTAATAGAGGTTTTGGGAGCTTAAAATGACGGGTCCCGGCTATTAATCTCACTTATAGAGTTTTCTCACTTACCCAGGTTTGACTGTATATAAATTACGCGTCACGTATTTTGTCCGCTATGAACTCCTAAACTACTTAACCGATTTCAATCAAATTTGCACACCGTGTGTAGTTTGATCTAACTTAAAGGATAGCTTACATCTCATTTTATACCCGCAATATTATTTTATTGCAATATATTTGTTTATTATTTAACAGTCACAATTCTAACAGATGGCGCTGTGAAAGTACCAACGTTTCACATAAGCTACAATTTAATGGCATAACCACCAAAAAAGCATGGTGGTCCCCATGACTGGTGTTCTCCTACCGTTTCCCTCGAATAGTTTACTACTATGTAATATAACAAAAAATTTAGCCACATCAACGCTTGGCCAAGTCTGCTAGTATTATAATAAAATCAAGTAATAAAAAAATTCAACCTTACCTTCACAAGATGCACAACAGCAGCCAAAGCAGCAGCTTTAAGCATATGATGTGAGGCCGCGTGTTGCCATAACTGCGGCAAATACGAAAATAGCGCTACAACGCCCCGTTCGCGACTGACCAACGCCCCGCAACGCTCCATCACGTACGATATTACGTGTAGAACGTGCATTTTTGTGTCGCACTCTTCGGACTCCACCTAAACATTATTTTACTTGAACATCCTATATATAAACGCATCAAAACGCACTTACAACATATGGGGCGTTACAACCCTTGATTTCACTTATCAGTACGACCAACATCTATAAATAAATGCATCGAGTCATGTCTAAAAAATTATGGGTCGTTACAACACTTTATCAGTACGACTACGCTCTCACGCTTCATTTATCATATAAGAAAAATTCAAGACACAGCCGGGGTTGGAACGCACCACTTGGGGGTTGAGTTACGTGACTAGCTTGCTCTAGTGGTCATAAGCTTAAATTAAATTCAAATTAATAATAATAAAAATAAAAAGTTAAAAAATAAAGTACCAGGAGATCATAAAGCGCAGCTAGTGCATGAGGAGCGTATGGCGCAAACTGTTCCACTTGGAAGTTGAAATCATCAATCGTACTCCGGAGTGCCTCAGCGGCAGCTAACTTAACCGCTGGGTCTTCATCAGATCGTGTGAGGGGTTCCAGCAGCGCTTCGTACATTGCTGGTCGCAAAGACTGCGATGCGCGTACTCCGCACCATTGACCTGCAATGTTCGTTAATTATATCAAAAATATTTTTTACTATTAAAATAACAACGAGTCACAGCATTCATTCAGCTTTATTAAAACAATCAGCAAAAAAGTTGTTATAAAGTAACAATGCCAAAATATTTGGCCAAGTCATTAAAATATAATATCACTGGCATTAATTTAAAAAAATACCTCAAAACCAGTGTAATACTAAACTCTGATTTTTGATTCCGTAGAATTCGGACATTTTATAAGTGTTACTACTAAAAACCTTTCTCCACCGAAAAAGGGACAAATTTGACCTATTTGAGGGTAATAAAAAATAAAATGTTACGTATTTTTTACGTTTTACCTTCAAAAAGGTAAAACTAAATATTTAATTACTCAAGTGACCTAATACAAAAATAGCAAATATTTCAATATAATAATATATCGAATTAACTTTAATTACTTTATTTTATTTTTTTGCAGGCATCACTGCCTACTAATTGCAGGTTTAGTAAACCATTTAAAAAAAAGTTATCTTTACTTGTGCGTTTTTTACTATTTGTGATGATATGTACGTAATTATCACTCACCGTAAAACCAATTTTAATGTGGAGCACCGACTTAAATGTTCAGACTCGTATTGAAATTTAAAAATATGCTCGGCCAAAAAGGTTTGTAATCTCTGACATGTCAAAAATTATAGCTGTCAGAATTCTACGGAATTTAAAATCAGAGTTTAGTAAATTTTACCAAGAAAATAAATTATAAGTAAGACACGCTTAAATATAAATAGTACCGTATCTAAACATAAATAATATTGATTGATAATAATTAATAACAGATATCGCTTTTCTACACCAATTACATCGAACAAATTATATATATAATTTTACTTACCGATCAATTGACACACTCTTCTTCTAATTATCCTATAATTATTATCTTGAATTTTCAGTTCTCGGCTTAGAACATTGGTGAACCATTCATCAAAGTCAACCTATAGCAATCACAGAAAACAATTTTTAAACTGTCCATACGTTTCTGTACTCGTAGCAATAGTACGTAAAAAGGAACGTAAATGTACTAGAATAGGCTATACTCTTACAATTAGAGTTGAGACTGAGCCATAAGTATGCACTTTCGTATATCAATGTATTAGAATTACACGTGACTCTCGATATACTGTCACTTAGTTCATATATGGTTTTCATACGTGAACTTAGGCCCGTAATCAATCAAACATAAATATAGTTTCAAAAGCTGTCAAACCATGTTTTCTTTATGAAGTTTGACAAATTTGACAGCTCAAGACGAGATTACGTCCGAGATACGACGATACGATTAGATTTTGTTTTATATACAACAGCGGGCAAATGGGTAGGAGGCTCACCGATGTTAAGTGATACCGCCGCCCATAGACACTATCAATGCCAGAGGGCTCGCAAGTGCGTTACCAGCCTTTTATGAATTGGTAATGTATATGGATCGTAGTGAAGCACTGCTGAGCGTATTTGGTTGAGAACACTATACAAATTAAATGAAAAATCTGTGCGTTTAAACTATCAAAAAATTACATGTTATTTATGTTACTTATGTTATTTATGTTACTTATGTTATTTATGTTACTTATGTTATTTATAATTATAATAAAAGACGAAACTATACTAAAGTTCGTACTAAGTTATCTGCTTTTAAAACAGGTTTATGTCGAACTATAAAATTGTATTATTAAGCATTTTCCACATATTTTTTTACAACTTACATCGTCATACAAATCAAAAGCAGCAAGTCCAACAGCATTGTATATGGCATCCTTCTTCAATATGTTGGGTAAGTCTTCCGAGGAGACAGCGGTTTCCTGTGATGACGCCAGCAATCTCACAAGTTCTGGGGCTAGGATCGAACGATACTCATGGAATAGTTCCATGAATACTGCTTCAGTACATGGCTGAAAATTAACAGTAGTAGTAAGTATCTGGGTAAGAGAATCCATGTAACCTTCCAAACGTGCACTAAATTTTGTACATATAAATCGAATCGTCGACGACCAGTCACTTTCCAAGCGGCTCGATCCCTTGACGTTGCGGAGAGACTAAGGGTCCTTCAAGATAATAGCGTACCAATTCCTTAAACGCCGGCAACGCACTTGCAAGCCTTCTAGCAATGTAAGTGTTCATGGGCGAACGGTGGCACTTAATATCAGGTACGCCTCCTGCCCGTTTGCCCAATGAACTATAAATTAAAATATTTATTTTTATTTATTTATTTATTATATACATGATCCTAAATAGAAAGAAGTTGGTGTGGTGGAAACACAAACTGGACACAGTTTTTCTGTCCACCAGGTCGTCGAACATATTTAAATAATTAACTTATTACACACCTAGGCCAGTGACATACTATACAATACAACATTTCCACCATTAAACCATCAAAACTGCACGAACAACGTAATAAACCAATCGAAACATTGTCGCTCCTCCGTTAGCCAATGCAAGAAACCTGTTCTTGACGAGAACTCTCATTCGAATACAGGACGTGTTCCAATATTCGAACATGAACTAAATGACGATGTCTTATTTTTGTCATGCGTAATTTGTAATTGTTTGATTTATAAAGTAATTTTTTAATTTAAATTTAATATTATTTCTTGTTATACCAGCAAATAGTGCAGCTGGTAACGAGTTTAATAGATCTGGAATAATATAGTCTAATGTTTTTTTCCCATATAAATTATTGTATTTTGGTCTTAGAAATTCGTTTTTTAATTTCAGTGGTTCATGAGATATGGGCATTTAAAGTCGAGTACATTTTCGTGAATTACATACGTCTCGTAACGTGATTGGGGCATGGGTTAGACATTTCTGCGTCAGCGTGTAACTCCGTTCGAATCCCCGCAAAACTAATAATGTTTCGGCACAGGAGACCGTTCACCTACTTGCCCAAAATAAAAGTTGTACCCCCCCATGAGGGCGCAGCGGAACTTTAAATCATACTTATGTTACGTTAATTACATAATAACTCTGACGGTACCAGGCTGTAAGAAGTAAGTAATTTTTACTCACCCTCAAACTGTATTTCCAAGACTCTCCAGCCTCATCGGTGGCGAAGCTTTCAGGTTCCGCATCCCAAAGTGCCAGGTCATCAGAACTTAGTAGGAAGTAATGGGTAACAAGGTGTCTACACATATGACATACAGTGTTCTCGTTTAGGACTTCTGATTTTATTTGGTGAGCATGGAGTGTTACTGCAAATAAAATTGTTAATATGTTTATTATTAAATTTACGAAATGGTTATTGAACATCTATAAATTTGGATCAAAATATTAATTCATCTCCTAAGCCACAAATGATTTATAGTTTCTAGTAGGAAAGACTAACAATTTTTTTCCTTTTGTAAAAAAGTTACGATGCGGGGCGGGGATTAAATTACGCGTTATTGTTAATGTTATTTTCGACTTTCCAGTACTTTACACCACATAATGGTAACTTTTAGTTATAGAGTCACTAGGTGGTCACGAAACGTTTTACTATACTTGGGTGTAGAAAAACGTTACGGCGCGTTACATGGGGGGGGGGGTCAATAATCTCCAAATATTGCGTGACGTAATACTTGAACGCTCCCTTATACACCAAGCATATTCGATACTATGGGACAGAGACAATGAAATTAATGTTTAACAAATTACTAACTTGAACGCTCCCTTATGCACTCACATTTTTTCTAACAACAATTTTAAATTCATTAAAACAAATGCTTAAAAATGGAGCCATGGCGATGGTTTAAAATTAATAATTGGTTAACATCATTAATTTCTATATCTTCCAAGTCAATACAGTTTAGTAAAAATTTTCTATGAATCACATTTCAATTGGACGCAATTTGCTAGACAATTCGACTTTTTAAGTTAAAACACAAAAAAAAATCTAAAACTTCTACACTCACTAGCAGCCGTCGCTTGATCCCCCCTTCGGAAGCTTGAACTCCAAACACTGAAGTATTCCCTTAACAATATTCAAACATTGTATTGTAAATCTCTCATACGCGAGCGACATGCCCTGCTCAGTAAAGCAGTAGTAGAGGGCAAATTCTAACGAGGGTCGGATAAGTTGCACATAGGAGAACGGGTGGAAGGATAGCACGCCCAGGGCGACTTTGGTCAAGTGTATTATAAACTTTTCACATAATTCCAAGAGATAAATACCTCTTCCTTTTAGAAGTTTCCCTGTAAAGAAAATTTATATATGTTGAAACGAATTCAAATACACACACGACATTCAACCAGTCATTTTACAATGTGACTAAACGAAACATAATGCCGGCATTGTAAGTTCAAAACCTCATCAAATTTTGCTTAAAGGTGTGACATAGTGTTGAAACTTATATTTTAGATGCAAAAATAGACTTGTCAAGTACAGATAAACCTAATACAAAAACAAAAAATGATTACATTTGCCCTTAGGGAGTGTATAAGGGAGTGTTCAAGTATTACGTAACGAATTTGGGGGGGGGGGTCCTTTCGTAAAACATTAAGATACGGGGCGGGGATTGAATTAAGCGTTATTGTTAATATTATTTTCGACTTTCCAGTACTTTACACTACATAATGGTAACTTTTAGGTATAAAGAGTCACTAGGTGGTCACGAAACGTTTTACTATACTTGGGTACAGAAAAACGTTACGGCGCGTTACATGGGAGGGGGGTCAATAATCTCCAAATATTGCGTGACGTAATACTTGAACGCTCCCTTATACACCAAGCATATTCGATACTATGGAACAGAGACAATGAAATTAATGTTTAACAAATTACTTACTACACTCTAAACTGGTCTTAGCTCTATCGAATACAACATTTAAAAAGGCAATAGCATCTTGGCTGTCATGTGCTTTTTTAAATCCAAATACTGTGAGTTTTCTTAGCACTCGCAAACATAATAATGCCTTCTCTAAATGTTCTGTTATCACCTCTGTGGCCGCCCCTTCTTGTATGTGCCGAAGAAATATTTCTGTATTCTCATGCCATAGATTTAATATAAAACCATAGACTGTGCTTGTAAGCTCCTGAAATTAAAAAAAATATATAAAAAACTGCTTTATTGCGTGTATAAAAATTTATAACACTTTGTATGATGTAAGCAAAAATGTTCTGTGTTCTGTTCTGTTCTGTGTCGAAACATGGAGAGCAAGCAAGGATGCAATCATGGCCTTACTCTGAATACATAAATAATATTTTTTTATTGTTTAATTAAAGTATTTATATTTGTCACTAGTCAATTGTTTATGAATGAATGCCAAGGATTGAGCAGCTCTTTGTGAATCATTCATTCAGGAAATCAGGAAATAATGGTAATTCTCGTTTAATTATAAAATATTTTTTACAATGCACGGTTAAGCAAACATCATACCAAACTAACATATCTACATATTAATTGCACATTTTGACATAAGTTTACATTGTAATTATATTAAATTGAAAGTAAACACATACCTGAAATTTCTTCTTACTAAGAAGAAGTCGCTTAGATGCTAGGGCCTTAACAACATGGTGGAATATCAACAATGACCTGTGTTGTACTAAGGATTGTGGTGCCTTTAGTGCCCCAATCAAATCCGGTATTAAATTTGGCCAATTTTCTGGGCAGTCAAACCTTAAAGAATGTGTGAGTGTGTAACTGTATCAGTAACATTATCATATTTATTTATGTCAGAAGAGTTTAGTTTAGTTTATAATAATTTAGAAAAGTTTAAGTTCAAGGGTGGTACAAATTATTGAACTGTTACAATTCTTCAGTTTAATAAATTTTTTTGTACAAAATGGTCTGCATTAATCTACTTTATTATGACAATAAGTATTTTTTTTGTTCTAAACTAGTTTTATTATATAATTTTTGATGCTTAACATTTCTAACTTTAAAATATCTTATAAATCTTTTAGATAAGACTTGGCTTAAAGTTCAAGTTACCAGGCCTTAAAGTCTTCAAAAAATACTAAAGTTTTTGTTGTTTTGAAACAAAAAACCTATGATTTATAAAAAACTACCAAGATATAGGTACCTTTAAAAATATTGTTGGATTTAAAACTTTTTGAGTAATCTAAACAATTCCATATAGGACTGTTTCTTTTTCAACAATTGCATTTACATTTAGAACTCTAACGTGATATTGCTTTATTTTGTTTGGCTTATTGTGTTACCTTTATATATTTAATTTTTAGGCTCGCCTAAATACTTAGACCTATTTAAATTTAAATGATACACACATAGGCCAGAATCAAATACAATAAAGCACCAAATACCTTGCAATTTTGGCAATAAGCACTGCTTCTTGAGTTGCTATTTGGGCTACAGGCTCATTCAAAATATTTGAGTTAAGGAGCCCTTGTCGTAACTTAATTCTTTCTTCATCTGATATAGCATGTGGTGCATTGCGACGCCAATATCTGTCTACACCATTTTTAAAACACATAACAGCTAACCAACGAACATGTACATCTACTGAATGGTTTGATAGCACATTCTGAAATGAATTAAGGTCAATCAACCTTCTTCTACAGGAGAAACCTTTATTAAGCTAAGCATTTAGATAAGATAAAAAAATACAATTAAGATTGACTTTCCATTAGCCATCTTCATAAGCAAATGTTTGTGTTGAATAACTTTAGATGAAGGTTTTTGTTAATAAGTAACCTTTTTCCATATGAACACAAATTGTGTACAAATATATAAGGCAATAGATATAAGATATTATGAATATGTCAGTTCAGATATTATGTTGATTGTATTATTTTCATACAGAAAATATTCTATGAATATGTTATAAATGTAAGTAAAATGTAATAAATACGCATTTCATTAGCAGGATAATATATTACCCTTTTGTTTCATAATATACAAACCAAGAGAACAGAATAGAAGCCAGGTTCAATCTCCCATTCTTCTAACTTCTTCTCAGCTGGTTTAAGTATATCTGTATTCTGGCTGGTAGCTCTATTTAGTGTATCCAAAACTAGGGCAAAGATGTCTGGTTCCATATTTGTATCTCCTTCAAGAAGAATTGAGTTTTATATTAAACTACTGACCTTTTAATTCCAGAAATTTGTTTGAATAAAAAACTTTATTGATTTGTAAATGAATGTATGGTGCATCTCATCTTTATTGCACAACAATGTTCCAGAGAGAAATCTCTTTAGTGGTGATATGAGATTAAGATAAAAGTATGATTTGCTAATATCTATTAAACTAATACTAGAAATAAGTCGGTATTATTAAATTATTTGCATACCGGCTGCAAAATTCGCAATAACAATGTTTATCGTTACATAATATACTCGAAATACCAATACCTAAATGAGTAGAGGGCGGAAACGCAAAACAATCTATATAAATTCATATATTTTAAAGAGCCACTTACTTTATCACGAACGAAAGTCAGGAATAAGCATAACCTAAAGTTATTTTTACTGCGACTGACAGCAGTAACGATTTTTATTTTTTAGTCTATTTTCATTACCGTTAATAAAAATAAATAGAAAATTCGTCTATATTCCAATTAACGTAAAATTTAATTACTATTTTACTGTAATTGTTTAAATAGAAAAATAATAAATATAACTAATGTAAATTCCTAAACCATTTGGAAAACATCGTCGACACTCGACAGAAAGCTGCGAACCTGCAAAACATCTTCGCTTTCTATGCGTCGACTGTCAGCTGTCGTCTTTCAATGTCTATATTTTCACTTCACTTCACTTCACTTTATTTAGAAGTATATTTTCGAAGGCACAACAAGAATGACATTTAAAATCAAAGTATAGATAAGATATGCTGAGGGTAGCCCTAGACAGGGCTAAAAAGTTATTTAGATCTTAACAGCTGGTATGGCTTGAATATTGGCATTGCTAAATTGCCCGCGATTGTGACTAATAGAATATGCAAAAAAAATCATATTGTATCATCTTCATCTATATTTTATTTTTATTTTACCTACACCATACGCTCTAGTACTATTATTTTTTGTTGGTGCTTAAGAATACTAAATAGAAAATGAAAAGAAAGAATTTTAGAATTATAATATTTTTTATTTCATGATGCTGTAACCACATTAACATGGTAAGAGTGCAGTGTAATTCTAGAGATTACGCAACTCGCAGTCCCGAGTTCGAGTATCGTAGCTGTACTATAATAAAAAGAGTGTGTGTACTTATGTACACGCGTTAGAAGTTATACTTCTTTGGCTTATGGAAACAAAAATAACTAAAATGTGATTAACAATAAATATTAAATTAATCAATAAAATTATTATTAGTAAATACTATCACCGTCGTATATGAAATTGATTTAATACACCAAAATAATATTTATGTATTCACACTGTTTAATTGTACTGTTACGAAACACGTGTTCTAAATATAATAATACTAGAATATACAACTTGAACATAGTTACTATCGATTTTCATGCCACCTAGAACTAACTGCATTCTGTTAATTTTTAACAGTAAAATTTTACTCTCATCAAAACGCGCCTATAACTTCAAAAATTTGGAACAAAAAAAACAGGCAAAGATACTAAAGGTCCTCGCCCTGCCTAACCCATGACTGGCCGGGCCAAAGTCTCAAGTGGCTAAGATGGATAAAAAGTTGTATATCAACATCAGAACACTTTACATTTCAGAAACACTTCGTTATCGCGATTAAAGTTGTAGCTGTAGATTATAGGTAAAATTTTGTTTAAGATAGTTAGAAATCTGTTTAGATGTCTGTCTGAATTTAAACGTGTTATTTTGTAAAAATTACAGGTGTTGATCCAATAACCACAGGAATTTCCATATTCATACTAAAATGAAATCGAAAACAGACTGTGATCTGAAAAATAAGAAATTAAATTATGATTTCATGCCATCAATAAAAAACAGCAAAAAGCGGTTAAAATTATATTCTACCTTGTAAACGTAAGAGATGTTTATCAATGTACGATCCAAATTTATTGTAGACGGTACAACCGGTGGTATATCTATTAAAAATGTGTATGTTTCTTCCAAGTTGTTTCTAAAGTCTTTTAAAAAAATTTCATGTATTTTCTTTTCAGTATTATAATAACCCGACATCACTGTGTATTCTAATTTCTAAAAATGATATTCATACAATTTTAAAATTTTAGTTTAATCTTAACTTACTTATTATTACACACCACACACCTGCAGAAGCGATATCACTATTTTCGACACTTTGATCTTTTTTTCGTTAGTTATGTATGCTACAAATGGTATATTTCGTTGATTAGATCCAATACCTTTATATGTTTTTATTCTAAACTGATATTGTTTAAATTTACCAAAACTCTTGGTAAGTTCATACAGGTACTTCTCCTGAAAAAGCAACATTGTTATTTTATTGTCGCTTGTTTTAATTTTTCTAATAAAACTTGATATAATTCTTAATATTCACTCACATTGTAAAACGTATACTCGAAATTATTAAGGTTTAAATGTGCAACAACAACAAATGGAAATACCCGTTTTTGCTTTCTTTTACATATTTTTGTAGTTTTTATTATAACACGATAATGTGTTTTGGCTACTGAATCTTGAAAACTTGATGGTATATTACGAGGAAGAATAAAATGGAAGGGGATACTTAAATTTTTTGATACCAAAGTGTTCTCTGAAAAAAATGATTTGTTAAGCAATTACAGAATCTAATCTATACCAAATAACATTTATACTAAAGTCGCATGTAATATTTTAATTCTTACCCTTAGTATCAATCGATATATCGATTCGAAGAACTTCATTTTTTTCAGAATAGAATTTAATATGTGGTATTGTAGGCATTGGACGTGTCCATCTAGCTTTACTTGTTCCCTTAACATTTAACACTAGGCCTATAATAATTAAGTATTATAACTTAAGATAGTTATGAAAATTTTATTAAAATAAATCGTATCACCTTTTACCACGCTATTGTGTTTTAATCCAAATATTACAGATCCCGTTACAATATCACCAGAATAAAAATATCCCTTATAATTATTAAAAACAACTTGACAATTTTCTAATACCATGTTACATGCAACAAATATCTGTTTTTTAGTTTTAAAATCTAGACTAGGTTATATATACACGAAAAATTCGAATAAATAATCGATAATGTGCAAATATTATAATTTTTATCAACTGATATAAATACATATGATAAAGCGTTATCTTATTTTAATTGTTGCTGTTTCTTTACTAAAGACAGATTAAGAGATCGTTTCTTCATCTACATAAATGTTAAAACGTTAATGTTAACTCTTAAAAGAAAAACATTTTAAAATCAATTTTTAAAATTCTGTACTATTTAACCAAAATCAAAATCAGATCTTTACTTTTAGTTACAGATAATATTGTGTGTTCGTGGTATAGTCTGTGGAATAATTTAAAAGTGTCATGTGTACTTCCACCTTTTTATTTTTTTTAGTAGCAACTTCTTGAAGCGCCATCTTAAGTGAAGAATAAGAAACACGTCTCTCATTCAAATTTCGAAAACAATTTTATTGTTTTAAATCTTTATATGTAGTTTTATAAACTATATTATTATAATATAAATCAAATATATTTATTTTTGCTTTTTCATTTGTATTGTATATATTAATTTCAACCTTGTATAAAAATAAAATAAAAAAAGATTACATTTGACTATTTCCTCATGCCATGACTTTTTTGGGTAAGCGGATGTGGTTGGTCCGCCATATCATTCGTGTGGGTCTGTGCTTGTGTGGTTTGGGTGTCTTACCGGTGCCAACCATTATTTTTAATTAGTAATAAGTTATGCGTATGAATCCAGACATGGACGATGATGAGAAGGGGTAAGTAATTTGGATTATATTTTAGATAACATGATGTTGCTTCGTGTACGTAAACTATAATAGGTCAAATTGCATGTTCGCTTGGTGTGTCGCATTTCACGGCAAGGCAGCAAGGCTAGCAAGCCATCGTTACGAAATTATTATGTTACATATTCATTGGAAAATTGATTGATTTCTTACGATATTTTTGTGTTTTAATTATAATCTAAGTTATTAACGAGTAAACGCTCATTAGCCTTTTACCGGCGAACGGCCACCGACCCCAAGCCTTTCCGTGTAGCGATCATGGCAGCTTCACTTTCCCATTACTTAAACATTGATGTATTTCAGTTTTAAAATAACTTATTTGTCTATCATTTAAGTTTTCGTTATAATAACAACATCTAACCAATATTTACAGTGTTTAAGTTTTAAAATTGTAGGTTGACTAAATATAACCTTTCTGTGACTAATTTATGGCTTTCTCTTATCAACGAATTGTATGGCACTTAAGTTACCATATTTTTGAATTTCACGATACGTAAATCTTTCGGTTTGATATCCGTGAGCTTGACTTTAATGAGGTTAATAGAGCGACATTGTGCTGCCGCGTAGCTTTTCTTCACTTACCTTACTCTGCTAAAACATGCTGATTCATTTGCATAATATTCACCGCGTTGTTTTCTGTGGTAATGTATTCGAATTGATTAAATTATGTTTACATTTTATACATATTTCTTTATTAACTTCAATACGCGTCGTCGACCGAATTTGACACGTCTGCGCCTTAAATTTCTGGTTCAATGTGGCATATATTGTACATTAATAATTATTTAAAAAAATTACTTAAAAGTACACTGTATGACTCATTACTTAAGAAATGAAACTATACATCGCACATAACGTCGTATTTTAGTTAGATAATACATTTACTTGGTTCTTAATTTTTATCTGTAAATAATACTTGTTATCACTATTTGAGTCAAAAGCAGATGTTATGTTCTGATAAATGTCTAATGGTATTGGGGTCAATACATAATTGTCTTATAATTATTTTTACAAAGTATTTATATCATTTGTATACACAAGTATATACATTGTTAATGAGGCATTAATTGTAAATAGAACCACACTCATAATTTTAAAGTACAGCATATTAACATTATCTGGTTAGCATCAAAAATTACAGAAGGCCTTTTTTAAGATATGCTTTAAATTTTTAGTAGATTGATGATATCGACAAGTTTTAATTTGTAATGTTCATATTAAAAGCATTTTCTCGTACATGTCTACTTTTCCTGTTGAAGTAATTAAGGTGTGTTTTATTCTAGTTTATTTTATTTCATGAGCCAGCATTATGTTCATGCCATGATCAATTTGAGTCAGTGTCCAGCGGTACCTATGTTTAACACTAGTTATAATCATTGCAACAACTTATAATTAATGATTTCCATTGTTTTGCTACAGAAAACTGTTTGTTGGTGGGCTATCATGGGAGACATCGCAGGAGAATCTCCAGCGCTACTTTTCACGTTATGGTGACGTGATTGACTGTGTGGTGATGAAGAATAGTGAGTCTGGCCGCTCCAGAGGCTTCGGTTTTGTGACCTTTGCTGAGCCGTCACTTGTTAATATTGTCTTGCAAAATGGCCCTCATCAGCTTGATGGCAGGTTTGTAACATAATTACAAAATTTTTTAAATAACTAAAAAACAAATTTCGAAAATATGAAATTTTATAGGTTGAATAAATTTAAACCACACTTAGCGCTAAGCTTATGAGAAGGTTTGCTATAATATATCTTGTTTGTTTTCCTTATTGCAAAGTAGCAAGATGCCAAAAATATTATATGGGCACTTGAGTCCATCATATATAATTTATTTAAAAAAGACAATAATTTGTACAAAACTTAATTATCAAACATTTGTGTAAACAATTGGAATTTTCCATGATAATTAATGAGTTACATGTAAAATTCTCTGTTTTATTTAAACAGTTCTATACATTCCAAACAGTTATGTATATACAGTAATTCAATGTATAGAACAATAATATCTAAAGTTTGTGTATTGAAATTGTAAGGTACAAAATTTTAATTTATTCACATTGTTCTAGACACATAAAGGTAATATACCAATTACAAACATTATTTTATATGGTTTTGTAAATATTTTGAATATCATTTGGGGTGTATGTTCAAATGTTTAAACCAAATGGAAATTAAAAATATATTGTGAATCTTCACTATAGTAAAATCGACAATCACCCAATTACATCTAGCTTATAAAATAATAAGTATACTAGAAAAAAATAAATCTAACACATTAGTGAAAGTCTTACAAATTGGAAAGTTGTTCTCAGATTAGAACACATTATGTGCTTTTACTCTTAGAATAATGAAAGTAAATTGCAAATTTTTGCAATAAATTCATATGATTATTTTGGTGTTATGTATCACTATACTTTGTAGATTTTTATCAATGGTAACTTATAAAACCACACACAAAGAAATGCCTTATGTGACACTAATTTAATGCTTGCATACTTTACAACAAATAAATCTAATATACAAGAAGATAATTTAGTTTACCAACAAATTGGTTTTTAAATTGAACAACAATTACATGTAGTAATCTGAAGTTTAAAGTGTTGTTATTAGGTATTTTGTGTGCAATAGCGTAAGCTCACTGTCACTGTCATAAGCCGATAATAGACTTCTTGTTTGCAGCCTCAATTTAAGTAGAAAAATTTATAGTTACACGTGCTAAATTTAAAGTTTAATTATTTTAAGTAATATTGAATTTAGATCTGGGGATTACTTCTCTAAATCATAACGTAAAATTGGTCATTTTTATTATCTTTTCCCAACCTGACGCACGCTTGGGCGATAAATTTTTGCGTCTATCAGGAACCATTTTTTTTATAAAGATCAGCAGGTATAAGCAGGTCATTCTCCTTTCCAAATTCTATTGAAATTGACAAAGCATAATAGACAACGGCATCGTTGAAAAAATTCTTTTACAACGAAAGTATTTTTCATTCATTGCCTTATTTGGTCGATTTGATAAAGGAAATAAAAAAAATCTAACCTAGATTCATAATAGCTCATAATTTGGCCTTAATCAGGCAATGAACTTTGATTGATAACAGTACATTTCGTCCGCGACCGTTAGAACACGGTGACTCGTATAAATTCGCCATGAAATATTTTTAGCACACTGACTATGCCTAAATGATCGCGCTCACGGTTACGGCCATTCATTTACTATGTACTTTTAAACTATATCTCCCACTTGACTCGGCGCTTTAAGCATATACTGATCAAAATTCTGGGTTTAAGTCTCAATCACGCCGGACTCGAGATGAATAATTTACGTTAGAATGAAGACTACTTTTCCAAAATACCACATCCAGGCAGTGCTTACGATATCTATGTTGTTAGTACGTTCAGATGTTTGTGGGACATTAACCGCAAATCAGCATATACACATTGTTTCGCTAAACATTTGTGTCTACAAAATTTGCTACACAATACAAAAACGTCTGTTTTGGCAACGGTTATTTTTGTAAAAAAATTATTGTCTAAGTTTAAAGCCTATGTTAAATACGTGCCAATTCTTCAACAAGTTGTTGTGATATTGTATTCACATGCCGCTTGCTGGCATTTATTACATTACATTGTTTTAGCACGTATTAAGAAGTGTTATATTCAACAAGTATTTATGAGATTTAAATGTCAACGTCGGAAAACCGGAATCGTATTTTATTATTTCTGATATAAGTACCTAGGAGACAGGAGCATTGTAGAAGAGGCAATTTTTTATTTTCACTAAAATTACTCGGACATCCGCATAGATATAATCTATGTCTAATACTAATAGGAACTGGTTTTTTAAAAACTTCCTATGGCTGAGTTTATCAACACGTAAATGTTAATTGTTCCAAGGCGCCATTTTGTCGCTAAACAAATACGAGCGTTGAACTATAAACGGCCTGTGAGAACGGTCCCAAATCAGAGAAGTTATTTCATCGGTCGTTAAATTTAATTATTTATTAGGGTGTTACACTTTGATCCGGCTTAAAATTAAATAAAGTCTTGTTTTAAGAAAATGGGTACAAAGACAAAGAAAACACAAAAAAAAATACAAAGAAAGAAAAGCAATAAGCGTATTTAAAAAAAAAGTGTCCTTTTTTGCCTTACTCTATTCAGTTTTGTATACATTTAAGGATATGCTTAATAAAACCTTAAACAAATGAGAACTACCTACAGTGATTAAGCTTTAAGAATAGTATTCATCCTAGAATCGAGAGAACAATGCCCTATAGATACAGAGATAATACCGGCCTGCTATTATGTGAAAAACTATTGTGGATATCTGTATGTATCGTAGCGCCCGCACTCGATATCTATTTCATAAGAGAAATCTGGGTTTCAAGTTATTGGCTTATGTACGTATGGAGCAGAAAGGTGCTTTTAGGAAACAATTTATTGTAATATATAAAAATATTTTGTATTTTAATAATGATATTGCAATTTTTTTTTAAATAATTTTTTTTTAAATTTGTTCTTAAATTGATGAACGGTATATTAAATAGTAAAAAATATTGTTTGTAGGACAATCGACCCGAAGCCATGCAATCCACGCACGCTTCAGAAGCCCAAACGTGGGGGTGGCTATCCCAAGGTGTTCCTTGGGGGTCTGCCTTCGAACATTACTGAGACCGATTTGAGAGTTTTCTTCGGAAGATACGGAAAGGTCATGGAAGTTGTAATCATGTACGATCAGGAAAAGAAGAAGTCCAGAGGTAAGTTAACGTCTAGTGTGTAAAACAATCTAACCTTAAATGTTTCATTGAAAAAGTGAAATAAAATTGACTATTTCTAATCAGTATGTCTGTATATATGTCATGCTTTTGTTCTTGAACAAGCTATGTTACGATTTTTGTGTAGAAGTCTATGCCATTACTGACTTTGAGAATTCAACATTTTTTGCCACCTCAATTTCGAACAGGTAGTCCCGCCCGTTTTTTTACTATCCTTTTGAAACTTGCTAACAAAAAAGGTTCCATTTAAACACAAATATCCCGAAATGACCACTGAATATTTATATCCACAAGCCCATGAACAAAAAATACCTGTGAAATGACCCAACCTGAATTACGCTTAGTAGGCTGTTACTATATCTGAAAATAGCTCTGAGCACTATGCCGTCATTTCTGAGCGGTACATGTGAGTACGTGAGTGAATGGACTTTCTCATGTACAATGGGGGAATTTCGACTAATTATTAATGTACGGCTTTGTTATAAGTGTATAGATGATTAAAAATAAATGTCGAAAAACCTAGTGCCGTACAAAAGTGATGGTGCCGGAAGTCGGTGCAAATTTTTAATTCGACGACAGTTGCAGGAGGAATATAGGTCATTTATTACTGTACGGCATTTGTGTCATTCCTTTTGGACACATATACAGATACTTTACCCGTAAACGCCGTACATATTTCCAGCGGAGCGGTCGAAAGCCAAGGGTCGGAACCCTACCCCTACACCCATATACCCTAAGGTCATTGTAAAATGTACGGCAACATGTTCAAAATATTATTTAACACGGACAATAATGTTTTATAATTATGCCGTCCAAATATTATAGTTAATATTTGTGTAATTAAATATTCATCGAAATTTCAGGATTTACCAAGTTCTTACTGCTGTAAGATCAGAGAATAATGTACGGCAACTTGTTTTTTTACATAATGTTACTAAATATTACCGTTGTACATTATAGCCGTTCATTATAAATGGCAACAAATAAAAATATTATGATAAAAAATATATGAAATTTCCGAAATTTAGATGACTTTTCAAATGCTCCTAGAGTAATATGGGGAGTAATATTTTCAAAGATTATTGTTATTTTATATGTAACAAATATAAATAAACAAAAAAAACCAGATGCCGTACATTTTACTCCAGATTATTCTTTACAGCTGATAAAAACTTCGACGACGTTTGAGGTGTCCCTTAAGGTCATTAATAACTGTACATATCTGAGTATACTACCATAAGGCTGTAAAGTATATTTACAGCCTTATCGTACCAGCAGAGAGAGGTAAAGGAAAAATATTTTTAACAAAAATATATATAATACAGGGCGTCCCAAAGTTATGAGACATGAAGGGAAAGTACCTTAAATATCGCAGATAGGGTATTTTACTAAAAGAAGGCTTTATGTTATTTATAAAAGTTAGTAATTCTGCATTCAAAGATTTTTTTAAAACTACTTGCCTCGTCTGGAAATCGAACCGGCTTAAATTAAAAAAAAAAACACCCCTACTTTTATGATGCCAATCGAAAGAATGGCCAAAACCTAATAACTTTTCTAAAGTAACAGACTCGTAGGGGATTTTGTTAGGCCGAATACGATAGATAATGTTTTTAATTTGATTAAAAAGATATATTCACGCTGTTCCTTTCTTTTAAAATACTATGTTACTTAAGAAGAGTTATTAGTTTTTGGCCATTCTTTCGATTGGCATCATAAAAGTAGGGGTGTTTTTTTTACATTTAAGTCAGTTCGATTCCCAGACGAGGCAATTAATTTTTAAAAAATTTTTGAATGCAGAATTAATAACTTTTAAAAATAACATAAAGTCTTCTTTTAGTAAAATACCCTATCTACGATATTTAAGGTACTTTCCCTTCATTTCCCATAACTTTGGGACGCCCTGTATTGGTAGGCGGTGGTAGCGGACTATCGAAAGTGTACGGCATTTATCTTTTATTGAAGATTGTCTAAAGTATTAATAACCTGTGTTATTGCCGTACAGATAAAAGTCACCGGAAAATGACTCTTTTCTGAGAAAAGTAATTTGCCCCATACACCTATGTGTTCCACAAAAAATGTACGGCATGCTGGAAAATGTTATCTATTTGTGAAGTACTCTCAAGATCATTTAATTTTATGTTGATTCATATCATCATCACCTATATGCTAATCAGACATATGTTGCGACCCTTGGCTTTCGACCGCTCCGCTGGGAATATGTACGGCGTTTACGGGTAAAGTATCTGTATATGTGTCCAAAAGGAATCACACAAATGCCGTACAGTAATAAATGACCTATATTGCTTCTGCAACTGTCGTCGAATTAAAAATTTGCACCGACTTCCGGCACCATCACTTTTGTACGGCACTAGGTTTTTCGACATTTATTTTTAATCATCTATACACTTATAACAAAGCCGTACATTAATAATTAGTCGAAATTCCCCCATTGTACATGAGAAAGTCCATTCACTCACGTACTCACATGTACCGCTCAGAAATGACGGCATAGTGCTCAGAGCTATTTTCAGATATAGTAACAGCCTTCTAAGCGTAATTCACGTTGGGTCATTTCACAGGTATTTTTTGTTCATGGGCTTGTGGTCTATATTTATATCCACATCCAGGCAGTGCTTACAATATCTATATTGCAAGTACGTTCAGATGTTTGTGGGACACTAACTGCAGATCAGCATATACGCATTGTTCTCGTGAACATTGTGTCTACAAAATTTGCGACAGATTTTTTTGCTATGATTTATTTTTCGGCCATTGTGCTTCACATAATGATGGGCCTGAAAGAATTCCCGAAAATATTGTTCTAGATAATCACAACAAATTTCAGTTGGAAATAGGCTGATTGTAATTTTTATTTGTCGTGATTTAGGTTTTGGTTTCCTGTCATTTGAAGATGAGATGTCCGTAGAACGTGTGACTCAGGAACATTTCATCAACCTTAATGGAAAGCAGGTAGGTGATCTTTTTGTATTTATGGTATAACAACTCAAATATACAGCCTTTTAAAATTTGGGTGTATAAATAAAAAGGTAATCTATTGTTGTAAATTAATCTACATTGAAGTTTTTAATAATATTGTTTCATAATTACAATTTAGGTCACTGAACGTCTGCCAAAATAAATAAATCTGCGCCGTAAGAAAGATTTTCGCTCATATTATTTTGTTGCGTATATAATGCATACGCAGCATTTGGTTGCTTAGCCCATTTGGTATAAAATATAGTTATTTTTTCTCGACAATTAATTTAAAATATGTCAATTAATGTCTGATGTATAAATCCAGCTATAGCTTTTTATTTTTGTGATCTAATATGATATCTGGTCGAAAACCTTCCAACACCCTAGTTATTTAAGGGTGCGGTTTGTTTAATGAAAACAATTATCGTCTGTTTGGAAGTAAAAAGTTGTATCTGTAATATTCTTCATTGAGATCTTACGGGACTCGATTTCAATGGACCAAACTTCCATTAGGTGGAAATTAAGCGCGCTGAGCCCCGTGATGGGTCTGGAAAATTGGGTAGTGGCGGTAGCGGCATGGGCGGCGGTGGTATGGGTGGAGCCCCCGGGGACGCGCCCGCTGCAGGCCAATGGGGACCGCCTCAAGCCCCAATGAATATGATCCAGGGCCACAATGGACAGATGGGTGGTCCACCCATCAACATGCCTATGGCTGGACCAAACATTATGCAAGGGTAAGTTCTGATTAAAGTTTATAAAAGTCAATATGTCAAATGAAAAGAAAATGTGCTGGATTCATATTCATCGTCTCTTATCTGTATTCATTCATGTTTCAATAAATTTCCACATCCAGGCAGTGCTTACGATTATTATGTCGTTAGTACGTTCAGATGTTTGTGGCAGAGTAACTGCAGATCAGCATATACACATTGTTCCTGTGAACATAAGTGTCTACAAAATTTGCAACAAATATTGCCTCTGGCAATATATATCAATTATTACAATATACTTATGACGGTGCTGTTCTATTTCTTAGTTCAATGTAAATATCACGTTAAACAAATATATCTTGAAGTAAAGAGGTTCTTAGTTTTCGAAACGTCGAAAACACTAGTTGTAGCGTAGACAGGTTAAAGCAAAGTCGAGCCTAATATTCCAGATACCAAGGCTGGGGGACATCGGGGCAGACTTCGTACGCGTCGTACGGCGCAGCCGGTGGAGGTGCGGGCCCCGGCAACTACCAGGGCTGGGGTGCTCCTCCCGGGCCCCAGGCCCCGCCGCACGCGCCCGCCTGGCCTGCCACTAACAACTACACGCAGCACGCGCAGCCGCCGGCTCAGGGCTACGGCAGTTACGGTAATATATTACGAATTCACAGGCTCCGGCTACCGGGATTCTCCCGCACCTGATAAAAGTAATTCACTAAAACGTCCCCCCGATAAAGGATCCGGCTCACTGACTAGGTAGTTGAGGTTTAGCTTTCGGTGTCAAACATGACAATGATATAATACGTATTTCGTAGTCTCGACTCGTGGCGGGTAATGAACAAATTCAGTCCTTGTTTTCACTGCATAAACGACAGAAACGGCAATAGTAGTATCTCATATTCGTGCATCCGGGCATAAATGCGGCCGCTAACGAAGGGTATGTTGTGTATGCAGCGAACTACAGCTCGGCGCCGGCGGGCGCGTCCGCGGGCGGCAGCTGGACCAACTGGAACATGCCGCAGAACTCCAACTCGACCGGCTCCGGTTAGTCCCTGTCCCTTACTACCCGCGTTTTTATTTGTTTCGCTTGCGCCCGCCACCGCTGATTGGCTATAGAGCTAATACGAATTAGTCATACGTAGAAATAGTAGAAGAGACGATCGCCCATTCTCATGCGTAGACCCATGCTTGTGTTGCTCCTTTTCGACCCTATTACGGTAGACCGCTCGACGAGTGAGGCGGATCATAAAACAATTTTTTTTTCCGCAGGCTCGTACGTGCCGCTGTCCGAGGGCGGCGAGATGTACGGACGCGGCGGAGGCGCCGGAGCCGGAGGGGCCGCGCCTGCCTTGGCCGGGGCGCTCTCTTCTGCGGCTCTCAGCAAGTCATCGTCGGCCGACTACAGCACTTACCAACAGTACCCGCCGGCTTACCAGCAGGACCAGGTACGCCCACACACGTACACGCAATGACTCGTATAAGTACACGCCCGAGGGGCGAAGGGTAAAGGCATATATTGAGTTCGATGACTAAACTTGAGAATATACAATCAATATATCATTTTTCTATTCTTGAGAAAATCCTTGCATTCCCACCGAACTATCGAGAAAATGAACTTGATCGATATGTATTGAATTTTTAAGGTATTTGCTTTTGCCTCTTGCCCTATACGCGTAAACTTCAAATCGCCGCAAAAAAGAACTTCGACTTATTTTTCATTTGCTGTTTTTTTTTCTTCAAATTTTAATGAATTGTACACATACTCCCAGGTGTTTTTTAATAAAAAAATGTCGATGCAAATATGTATACGAAATATATTAAATATGATATATTAAAAACCGCCTGATGTATGACATTAGATCATCATCTAATTTGCTAATTTAAAAAATATCAAAATGAGCAATTTATTATCAGTTTTCGTCTTAAGGCTGGCATACTGTGAAATATTCGACTAATGTATGCCCGACTTAAAATATTGCTTTTGACGAAGTTTTGCTAAAGTACTTCAACCAGATTCCTTATCATGCTTTAACCATAAAATCTAGTGCGTGCCTAATGGTATTTGCAATTTATAACGCTTCAAACATTTCACTTTTAATACATTTAGTTTTAATTTCAAATTGTTTGATTAAATTAATTGCAAATACACTTGGACAGTTCGAAAGCCGCGTTGGAACGCGTCAGGAAGTGGGTTTCGATGTGAGGCAGAATTATTAAACTCATGGCAGTGGTATTAGCGCTTATGGGTTAGCTGTTCATAACCAACTGGATAGTTAGTATTTATTAAATTTTTGAGAATCACCTAAGTAATGTTTTTATCAAAGCTTTGCATGTTATTTAAGCTGAATCAACGTAATACCAATTCTATCCAGTTTGTTGCCTCCGCAAACAAGTCATTTCTATTGCAATAATAATTCCCAAAATAAAAGTACAGCCAAGTTAACTGATTTAGTGACCCTGGGGCTCGCTGCATTCCTTTATCCTTTGCTTTTCCGCATCCGTTTTAATTTGGCGTGACCGATCCCTAGCATGTGCGAATGCGACCCGTCCCGAGCGAGAGGCGAACGAGCGAGAGACGACTTAGATTTGGTTGTACTTTGTCTGTTTGTTTGCGATTCACGAATGAAATGACTCCACCGGTGAGCGAGTGATGTTCAGCGAAAACGTGACATTCGAATGCAAACAAACGTGTCCCGTGCGGCGCAGCATGAGCGCGCGCCTCCGAGTGCCTCACCTCGCTTTTTGTTTCGACCTGCGACATCGACGCCCACCCGTGCATGCTTTTAGTGGCGACCGCGGATGTGCGATGTCTTTTCGATTGGACGAGCCGAGTCGGCGACGTCACAGTTGGCGGTCGCACCGCATCCATAGTGAAAAATCGAGAAGATCGATGTTATCGAGTTTCGCTGAAGGTCTCTCATCACCGCTCCGCCGTCCCTTCCCTGTCCCGTCGGAGGTCCCGCCGCTCCCTGAGCTCATTCTTCGGGAATAATTCACACGCTTACGGTTCCATCTTCACGCTCAACGCTACTTACATAATCCTTGCTATGAGTCGGAGCCGAATGTGGCGAGTGGGACTTTATGTCTAATTCTTCTTTTCCAGTTGGTCGATCAGGGCCAAGAGTGGCTCCTCCAGAAAGACAATTAAACGTTGGGGTCGGACGGGGGTATGTCGCGAAACGGGGATTTCTCACTATGGACGGTCGATCGTGCGAAGGTTTCGCGGGCTCACCTAAAAGGCATCGCACCGCACTAGATTTTTAAGCTTTACCTTAGTACAGTTCGTGACGCGCGAGAGCATTTTGTATCCTTCGAGAGATGACTCAAATATGCTTTTTTCATCTCGGATAACTGAGAATTGGCATTTAAAGTACAAATTAGTAAAATTTGGATTTTTCATATTGTTACAGGTTCATTAATAGATATATACTATTTTAACGATAAAAATAATATTAAGAAGTGTACTTTAAGTGTTCAGAGATGAAATTCGATAATTCTGTTAATTGTAACGAGAGAGCATATTCCGAAACTGTGTCGCCATATATTCATGGGGCACTTATTGTACGACTAAACTATTAATATCGTAAGAATTGGACGCCCCATGACGACACAGCGAACGCCGAAGCCTGCCCATTCATTGGAAAATATATTTTTATACTTCATTATTAAACAATTCTAAAGCTTTTAATTTGACAGCCACAGGCTTCGGTCGCTAATACTTAGCGCGCGTTTGATATCCTTCGATTTGTCGTCAGACCCTTGAGCAGTTGTCTTTCCATTAATTTTCATTACCAAGTATTTTAAGTTTATTAAGAAATAAATCATTTGGACCACAAATCGTGAGGCATCCGACGATCGTCAACGCTAGTGGTCTATTTGATTTGCTTAATTTTAATTAGCTTGCTATCGTTTCAATATAAATTAGCCTGAGATCTGAAATAAAATAGGCCGCTTCGCTTTGACGATCCTTTATTTAACCCATACTATAATATTACTTAAAGTATAAGATAATATTGCCTAGTATACTACGTCTAGTATAACTCGGCAAAGACAATATTATAATACAAATGTTTCAATAACGTTTTTAGAGGCCTATCTATGGGCAATAGATTGATTAAAATCACGGGATGACTCATAACATGGAATCGGTTTAATAAATGTGTTATCGATTATTTAAATACCATTCTCTCGACGCGATTCTAACGCTTTGTAAACGAACAGAATAAGTTCTCCAATGCGATTGAATCGTGACGAGAATATATCTGAGTCGGCGCGTCACATCTTGCGCACGCCCGAAAGCCCCGCAACATTATCGCTTTAGTCAATCGTCACTTTGAACGACAAGCTTTAGTGGCGTGCGGAAGAGTGTGCGCGCCTAGGTTATACTAGACGTGTACGTACGGGTGAGGTCGGGGTGGGGCGTTAACGTGTGCGGATGGTTAGGGCTCGTCGTACGGCGGCGCTTCTCGGGCCTACAGCGCGGGCGGCGAGTACCACTCGGGCGCCGCGCAGCCGCCAGGTGTGCATCCGCATCCGCACCACGCGCCCAAACACTTCAACGAGTTTAACAAGGAGTGGCCCGCCGCCTAGGCTCACCACGCGCCTTACACACCCACACCGAACACCTCGTCCGTCGAGACATTCTCTGCTCACTGCACTCGCGGGCCCACGGCTCGTGTCGACGATAGGCTCCTTTAAACCGAATCGAAATAAGATCTTAACTGCATTAACACAAACCCACACGCGTAAGGACGTACATTTTTATAATGTTAAACGATTAATGGATATTAGATTTAAAACACTTGCATGGATAAGTTGGTAACGCTTAGCCATTCGTTTTTTGGTCGCTTTTTGCTGTGTTAAATGTTTCTCTCGTGAAGTCCCCAAAGTAATTTGATGAAATTTTCCTTTCCCCGAAGTCTCGCGGCCCCTCGACTAATTCCGAAGAACGCTGAAGTCAGCATGTCTTCTCTGCGACACGCATTCTTTTTAACTCTTTAATATTTTGGATGTGGGCTCTTAACGTATATAAACTTCTTATATATTTTTGATTGTCAATTATCATTTTTGGATGATTTCTTTTAATAACATCTCGATGGATCCTCGCGATCTAGTTAAGGTAGTGATGGTGTAATGTAACGTATGATCGGCGCCGACGAGCGCGGGCGAGGGCCGTCTCCGACGCGCATTTGACAGACAACGTACACGGCCGATATAGGGTGAGACCTAATCAACTTAACTTAAGCTAAACACTTGTATAAATATTTCGTATATATCTATATGTATGTTTAATATTAGAAGATTTTCGGTTATTACCACGCACTAGACTTAGGAAAACGGTAGCGAAGTAATAAAATTATTATTATGCGTTAATATTTAACAAAACATAGTATGACTGAACGTGATTCTTTTAATTAATATTTAACCTGTTATATAAAATAGGGGAACATTACCGTGTAAATGAGTATATTCGTAATTTTAATTTCTCCTATACATAGTATATCGATTTTTAGTTATTGCATTTTTAAGTTAACTGTGGAATTTAATAATTTAAATTTACCTGCCAAATTGTTAAATCAAGCGATAATGTTGTATGTTAAGTGACTGACGAAGCTCAATCATTAGGATATAGATAGGGCTCGCTCCGCACCGTTCGCTCGGACTCTTGTACATATATATACTTACGTGTGTGTAAAGCATAATTTTAATCGAACCAATCGACAGATAGTTTTAAAGTTTTAATTTGTACGATTGCCAAATATTTTTTAAAACTGTATAGATACGTCTGCGCTCACTAAGAACGCGCTAGTGTTATCGCTAGCGGCCGCCGGGGCGCGCTCGTCCGCTCCCTTCGAAGTGAGTTATAATTTTAATAACATTTTTAGATTAAATTTAATGTTAGTCCTTTACTGTACTATATCGCTCAATCATTTGACCGATCGACTGATTAAAATTTTAGTGATAAGCTAAGTAATTTAATCGCGGAGCGGCTGATTCGAGCGCGCCCCTTCCGCCGCGGTACATTATTTGTTGTAATAATTATCTTAGGGTTTACGACGTACTGATAGACTGCCCGCTCGTATACAACGGGAGCTGTTCCTTTAATTTTTAATATATAGATACGCGACCGCCCTAAGCGCGGCGCCTAATAAGATTTGTTATAAATGTTTTTACTAGACAAATTGTTGAATACATTAAATGCATAATTTGATCGCGTATAGTATAGGGTTATTTAAGATCGCACCATAAGTAAAGTATAATTTAAATACGACGATAATTGTGAGGAGTAAGCAAATTGATAAGCGACCCGGTCCGGCGAAAGGTGCGGAGTGCCAAATTAATGCTAAACATAATGAGGAAAAAGCCTTTACATTGTGATGTTCATAGTTAATGCACATAATATTGGTACATTTCTTATAGCTCTATATTAATTACACACGACTGACATAATCTAGGAATGGAAACTCGTACCTTAAACCAATATAATGAAATAATTAATTGATAAATAAATGATTGATAACAGTGCCTAATTGCCCACTAGGTTACGTGTAGACTTACTATTAACCGATTCGTTCACTCTCGTCTGATCGTTCCTATATTTAGGTTTAATTTATTTGAAATTCATTCCTCAGTTACGACTCTTGTGACTAAGTCTCTTTAAGTACTCTAGGTTTGTTTGAACTGCACGTTCACGTCGCTTTGAATCGCGTTTTGTATTAGTTCCATTTCGCTATTCCGCTGCATCTGTCCCGCTCTACGCGTTTATTCGTTTGCGACAACTCGCGCCACAAGTTTCACAATTTCAGAATAATTACTGTAGGTATAATGTACAACCACCGATGCTCGATCGAAATGAATAAAAACGATGCCTTAAAAAGTTAAGTAAATATATAGATAATTTATATTATATTCTTTTCAGTGATATTGAATTTAGCACTAAGATATTAGTAACGGGACGTAAACCCGCACTCACAAACGTTCGGAACAATTAAGCAAGTTAGTTTGTAATGAATCAATGTGGCAATCATCTAATTAAACATAAAGAGTATGATTTATTTATAATAAAGTATAATATGTATTAGAAATTTTAGATTTACTCAACCTTAAACTTAGTGCAAATTATTGTGAAAATCAATTGAAGACTATTTATATGAGTTTTTAATTATTATTATAGGAGGAAAGCATTAAATATTGGAGGAATTTATTAATTAAATAGTTAGCAAAAATACAAATACGATAAGACTCGTTAGAGGCTCGTCTGTCAAATGTGCGCGGTTGGAGGTGGGCTCCAGGGGGAATGGGGGCGAGGGGGTGGCCTGCGTTCGTTGAGCGACCCCGCGTGGCGCACTTGCATACATTGCATTTTAATATTACACTGAAGTAATATCGACATATGATAAAATGTTTACTGTATCTTAATATAATGTTTATAATACTTTAATCATGGCTTAACAGTAGTGATGTTTTGTAGTTAACCTTTCGACCCTTGTTTGTATTACTTTATATAGTGTACGCGGTTTTTATATGTGTATGTTTATTCAGTAGTATAACATGTTTGTGTAAAAGTGTATTTTGGTATTTGATAGCCAGCGCGACGCGTTGCGAGCGCAACATCAATAAACTTTATGATCGTAATTGACTAATTATATTACACGACCTCCCCTAGATGTAATGTTAGATTAGCTGACTTTTTTAGGTTTATTTTACTCGTATTTGCATTTAAGGCAAAAGCGTCGGCAGTCCGTAGCCGATTTTCATTAGTCGGTTCTGAAACTTATTTTTAAAAACCAATGCAGGTATTATTATTAATATGAATCCTCGTATTTATACTAGAGTATTTAATATAATGTAATTATTGAACACCTATTAATCGTATAATAAAATGCACGGGCTTTACAGTTAATTATAACATTAATATAAAACTTAGGGCAAGTTGTTATTTATTTCTGTTTTAATTAAAATTTTGATGTTGATTATTTTTTTAAATATTTTTTTATAGTGAATTAAAGTACATATTTGATCTATTTAGATTACAAAATGATTAGATGAACTATCGACTGATGTACAATATTTAACGTAACGATTAATTATGGCAGTGTATAAGTTTTACTCAAGACGTTTCCACTACGGGGCGTTGTATTTATACTGACGTAAATTTATTTCTTATAAAATGTAATTAATTGGAAGCGGCTACTGCGACCGAGCCACTTTACTAAGCATGTTACGGTTGTAAGACTATTATCTAGATTTGTTATAATCTTGTAATTTGTACTATACCTTAGCCCTAGAGTGCGTGCGCGCGGAGCGAGCGCGATCGTTCGCCGCGGCCGCGTTCGCTCCGCTTCTATATAAAAAGGAAAATTATGATAGACTTACGCGTGCGTCCTTGTTATTTTTTTTACAATAAACTAATGATAATTAGTTAATTACGGTTTATAATAATTATAACAGAAGCACTAAAATTTAAGACAAAAGCTTTGTATGAGATTTAAGTATTCGATGTAATGATGAAAAGTGCTATCACAGAACATTACACTTAAGGTTTTTTCAAAGTAGAAATTATGCATTATTCATATTAGGTACTTTGGGTATATATTTAGTTAGAGTTAACTGGTAACATTTAAGTATGTAGTTTGTAATGTAATGGAAAAATATTAAACGGTTTTGTCGTAGTTTTCTATTTAATAAGCTTCTTCTATATTAATGGTTTAAAGTAAGTAATTACTGGTTGATAAAATAAAAATATTAATATTACAACTGCAAATATTTGAGATATCTTATGATAAAATATATATCTACTTTAAGGACATTATAAAACGTAGATAATTAAAAGAAATCAAAAATTTCAAAATAAATGGCATTTTTAATGGTTGCAAACCTCACTCCCTCTAGATAAGTTATCATAATTTTTGTTTTTATGATCGTTAGTAATAATAGTCTTACTAAAACAATACTCTCAGCTAATGGAACGTGACAAGGTCGTTTCCATTAATTACCAAACTAATATCGAATGCACACAATCACTTGCACGTACTCATTACACAATCTAACTCAATTACGGTAAAGTATACTGTTGACGACCGCTTTATATTAAACTTGTAATCAATTTGAAAGTATCTTCCAAATTTTTCCTATGCATCTTTAAAATCTTTAATTTGACATTAGTTTACCATTTTTACGTAACGAAATGCGTGTTCTGTAAATCATTGTTTCAAAGTGATCTCTTTGGTTAACGTCGTTTTAAAAAAATATATGTTAACGTACCAACAATATTCAGCAGAGGGTGACGGTGTTGTAGGCAGCAACGCGGGAAGTCCAAAATTCGTTCAACAGTTGAGCGATGCTATTGGAACACCTCCACAGGTTAATAATTAACATTATAAAATTGCGATCGCGTAGAAATGCAATAAATTATGTGGGGATGTGTTAAATGCGCATTTTGATGATTCTGATTTTAGCCTGCAGTTTTCAAAAAGAGCATAAAAGTTAGCTTTATTCCTACTTTTTATATCTGAAATTATTCTGTCTATACAAACAAGTCACTAAGAAACTATTAATCCAGGTTGCTATGGTGTACTGCAGTGGTATGGTGTCACCACAGTCCTCATTTTGTAACGTTTCGGATATGTCCGCTTCTGCCTCAGGTTTTCCAATTATTTTCTTGTAGTACACATAGCTAGTATAGATATCTGATACAAATACACAAGTTTTATCGTAATTGAGTCGTATAGACGATTTTAGAAAATACTGAACCGATTTTGTACTTAAGTAGACACATGTTAATTTAGTACCCTTATAGTTAGTAAGGTAATCTATACTCGTGTAAAACGAAGGTGCGTGGTGCGGTGAGTTTTTTTACTTATTTAGTATTTTGAACTGGTAGTATAAAATTTATATTAATTTAAAAAAAAACTGATTTTGCTTTTTAATGTTGCTGTTGGAAACTGAATTCACCGTCGCCATTTAATTTTAACACAGGTTTATGTATAGGTGATGATTATGAATACACTGGCGGCTCCGGAGATGGTTACCAGAAGACATCCAAACGGAGCTACCACGGATCTTCGGGCGCTGCTTCCGCCTCTTCATACCATCCCTATCGGCGTTAATGAGTAACCCTTTGTTTCTCATGGTAGCCTGGTACCTGCGTTTGTGAACGGCTGGCTAGCGGTTCTCTTTTGACGTGGAGCTTTTTTCTTTCTTTTTTTTACGATCCTCCTTAAGTTAGTTCACTTAGATTTTTGACTTTATTATAATGACATTTTTTGCCAATCATTACAGAACCGCGCAGCAGCTTAACAACTTTGTAAAATAATGATGTATCTTTTCTATGAGCAATCATTGAGTTTTTAAATGTCTTTTTTATGGAATCGCCTCTGTGAGAATTAATGAATTAGTATTTCTCTAAAGGAAAATGCCTATGCATTTTTAAATATTATCTCAAAGGTGTGATTCCGTGTTATTGTTAAGAGGTTAGCATAGTTTTCTTATTCATGTACTTTCAATTTGGGTCTGAACTAGTTCCAAATTGTAGTTTTCACATACAATACGAATTGCTTTCGTAAAATAAGACAAAGTCGTATTTTTTATATGATATATTTGATTAAAAGCATTTTAATTATATCAGTTACAAAAGTCAAGATAACATCAGTGTTATTTTCGATTAAACCAGACGGTTTACATAAAATTACTCTAAGTTATTACTATATCGCGTCCAAATAGAATAACTGCATTTATAAACTTATCCTTTGAACTAGACAAAAGACATCGAATTTTTCATCTTGACAATTTTGATTTGATGCGCTTTTCACAATTCAGAAAATAAATGTCCATGTATTAAAAAAAATACCTTCGCAAAAGATACTACTGTTCAATGACTATGTATTTTGTTTATTTCAAATAAAATAACTTCTATCTATAAGTTTTCTTTAACTTTACAATCAAGACTGAATCCATTCCTCTGATGAAGCGAACCTCATCGCCGCGTAGTTGAATATTTTTTAAAAGATATTTATTTTTGAGATAAAGTTTAAATCACAATATATTTATAGAATCTAATATAATAAATACATTCAGGTAAGTTCTAATTTTAGAAACGTACAATCGATGTAATTAAATATTTTTTTTACTATGACTAATGTACTGTACATAATATTTTCAAATCGAAATAGTTAAGACGTATATCATAATGATTTTATAATATTAGGCCCTTAAATTAAGCGGTACATTTTAAATAGCACAAGATACGTAGTCTAACAATTCTTTGTATAAATAATATAGTTGTCTTATTTGCTATATTAACAAATTAATATAAGTAAGATCTGGCTTAGATTTACATTACTGTTTCGTAATTAGCTATACAAAAATTACTTTGTAGATACACTTAATAAAATGTATCAAGTCATCAGCGCGAATTATTTCTTAATTAAGGAGTAATTATTATCAAATCTTTATAAATGGACAGACTAGAATTTATAAGATCAAAAGCATTTATTGAATGGTCTCATCATTTTTATTGTGCCCAAGGAGAAAATTTTGACTAAAATTATAATTTGCTTGATAGGATAAGGCACTGGGATAAAAAGTCTCTCTTAGCGTAATTGAAGCATTAAATTGCAGTAGGAAAGCAAGGTTTTTAATTAGATAGGTTCCTAAAAACTAACTTAAAAAAATTTATAATTTAGTTACATAATATCTCAAAAACATTAGATTTTTACATTTAAAGCCATAACTTAAAAAATTGAATATTAATTGGACAAGTAGATGCATAATTGCTAATTGAATATTAACCTATTCACGTCGAGTTCGAATGTCGCTTAACGCAATTGGTACATTGACATGGACCTGGGGGACTTTCGTACGACAAATGCGCCTGGGCTGCTCGATAGCATAACTCTCTGTAGCGAGCGCAACCTGGTAAATACAAATACATTGCTTAATCGCCTAATATGTGAGTCTGAATTCCTCAGAACCAGTTTAACTTGACTTTCTTTTTATGTGCGCATTTAACATTCGCTCGAACGGTCAAGGAAAACATCGCGAGGAACCGACAGGTCTTGGAACCAAAAAAGTCGACGGCGTGTGTCAGGCACTGGAGGCCGATCAGCTACTTGCCTATTAGATTGAAAAATGATCATAAAATAGATTCAGAAATCCGAGGCCCAGACCTAAAAGAGGTTGTAGCGCCACTGCTTTTTTTTAGGCCTCCTACGCACTGGCGACCATGGTCGCCGCGACCTAGCCGCGGCGGCCAGTGAATTCTGGACTTTATATGGCAATCGCTATAGCCCCTACGCACTTAGCGGCCAGCGACCAGCGGCCACCGTTGGCCGCGGCGTCCAATTTGATGCCACGCGACCAGCGACCAATCGTGGCCGTCGAGAACATCACTTCTGTATTAAAATTCATCAGTGCTACCGCATCGGCCGCGGCGACCAGACGTGTAGCTAGCTACAGAGTGATTATTTTACAATGGCCAATTTCGACACGGAAAGGTTCATAATTGAAGTTGAAAATAGAAGAGGTTTATGGGATTTAGCATCAAATGATTACTCCAATAAAGATGTTAAGCGGCAGTTGTGGCTTGAAGTGGTCGATATATTTGGCGGTGAATCCATGGAAGATAAAGAAAAGGCAGAACTTGGTTAGTATTTTATTTTATTATGCCTAAGTAAATTAATAATGCGATGAACTACAATAAACGCAGCAGGTGCTGTAGTAGCATTCGACACGTATATGTGACATGAGTGATTTTTTTTAAAGTTGTTCCGTTCATTCAAAATCTAAGAAATTTTAGCAAATAGGTAATTGTCAAAAGTATAACTATTTTATTTCTACTATTTTTCGCTTTGCACATGAGTTTTGACAATTATTTGCTAAAATTTCCCAGGTTTTCGTAATGATTGGAATAACTTTTTAAAAAGATTACTCATACCGCATGTGCGTTCGACGCCATTTTGTTTACGGCGCGCAATGGCGGCTCGCGGCGAGCACCCATATATTTACAAATTGTGCCAGGGCAAGCGACCATCGGTACTGAAGTAGTTTGCGAATATATCTCGATATTCGGTTGATGTTCTATTTGCTCTATTAGGTAAACATGCAGGTATTTCTAATAAAGCCTCTGGTACAGTTAACGTGTCCTTGAAATCATATCCGTCTCTTTCTCGCACAAAATTATGAAGCACACATAGAGCTTTTATAATCACAACTGCAAATTCTTTCTTGACGTTTAGGGGTCGGTGAAGAATCTGCCATTTATTGGCTAATATTCCAAATGTACATTCAATATAGCGGCGGGCACGGGATAGTCGATAATTAAAATTAGTCTTTACATTATTCAAGTTTCTCCCAGCATACGGTCGCATCATATGTTCCGATAGTGAAAACGCCTCATCACCCACTAAAACGAACGGCATTGATTGGCCATTTTCTTTGATGGGGTTATTGCTCGGAATATCGAGATCATTATTTAAAAGCCTATGATAAAATACAGAGTCTTTGTAAATTGACGAATCACTGCATTTGCCGTATGCTCCAATATCTAAGTAAAGAAATTTATAATTTACATCACATATTGCAAGTAACACGATTGAAAAATAATTCTTGTAATTGTAATAAAGAGATCCCGAATGTTGTGGTTTGATAACTCTAATGTGCTTGCCGTCGATGGCTCCGATGCAATTAGGAAATTGGGCGTATTTTTGAAAACCTTCAGCCGTTTGAATCCACTTATCTCTGGTCAATTGTGGCATCACAATTGGTTTTAATATCTCCCATATTGCTTCACAAACATCAAATACTATTTCCGATACTGTAGGAAGCCCTATACGGTATTCATGACTTATATGAGATAAAGAACACCCAGTAGCCAAATACCTGAAAATAAAATTCACATTAATAAACATAATATTAGTTTTGTAATATGTACTACATTTATTTATTGATTTACAGGCATTACTCTCCAAAAAAGATGGAAAAACCTTAGAGACTGTTTCACAAGAGAGCTGCGCCGTCTTAAAGATGTCAAAAGTGGTTCTGCTGCAAAACGTAAATCACAATACACCTATTTCAACCAATTACTGTTTTTGAAATCAGTGCTGGACACAAACGCAACAGAAAATAGTCTCGAAGAGGCAAGTCAAGAAAATGAAAGTGCAAGATCTTCTGATCTTGAGACTCAACAGTCTGCATCAAAGTCGCTTAGAACAAAAAGGAAGAAAAAAATACCAAACGAAGAATCCGATACAGACCCTCTAATTTCAGTTCTGCATAAGACCATAGCGACTACACAGAATGATTCAAATTGTGACAGACTGTTTCTTTTATCCCTCCTCGAAAGATTTCAAACAATCCCTGCTGCAATGAAGACCAAAGCGAAAATGGAAATCATGGAAATTATAGAAAAATACCAACCGAACTGTACACCTACAAATCGACCGAGTTATTCAGGTTATTCTACTACCAACAGGATATCAGATGATTCAAATTACAGCGATACTCATACTCATTATTCTGATATTTCTCAAAATTCAGAAATGATAGACCTATTTCCCAATTTGAATGATTAATTGTTCACAATTGCCATTTTTTAAGTTATGAAAATACAAATAATTTGATTATCTACTTCAGTTTTTTAATATTTAAAAACATGTTATAAGCAAGCCCTTTTCCTCTCCTTTTCAAAGTCGTAAAGTAGAATACTACTGAACAATAGTTCATAAATTTTTTAAAGTGGCAAAACCTTGGTCAATGAATTATACAGGTTGTTGTGAAAAACGCAACAGTGGTGGTTTAGGGTGATTCAGAATCAAGTCTTGTATAATTCAAATTTACAAAAAAATCCGTTTAGCAGTTTAAGTAAAAAAAAGGCCCTATCACATTATTTTTATTTTTCCTGTACACAATACTCCATTCCGAAACATCCTTTAAAATATATCACGTATTTTTTAAACATTCTGTATTTAAAAAAGAAAAAGCTTACCTTATTGTTATTACTAATTTTTCTTCTGCTGGAATGCATTTCCGATAGTTGTTACCAGTTCCAGTAATTTTTGGTTTTATTGTATCCAGTAACAGGTTAAAAGTATTCGTTGACATTCTCATGTAATTAAAGAATCTCTTCTCATACATTTTTAAATCCAAAAAATAAGTATAATATAATCCTTTAGTCTTTCTCTCGCAAAGTAATGGATGCACCCAAAACTGTCTTTTTACGTGAAATCTTCCGTTTTCGTTTTCGTAGTAAATACACAAGCACAGTTAGCGTGATTATCTTCTGCACGTCCATCTTGACACATCCTTGGAAGTCGACTGCAAATTTTCGGCCGTCCACATGTCGCGCTTGCCTACGCACCGGCGACCATGGCCGCGGCGGCCTGGCCGCGTCTATGGTCGCCAGTGCGTAGGCAGCCTTAAACGCAAGCACGGAGATACTTGTTCGAAATAATTATTGCACTTTAGAATTTGGGAATTTTATTTAATATGCGAAGTTGATAAAGCTAAAGTATGTGCTGCAAGCAAAAACGTACACACGGTTACCTGTTGGAGGTAACGCAAGTCTAGTATCGGCAGCAAAACCACGCTGTGCCAGTCTATCCAGCAGTGTCGTGGCTGACCATCACCTCTCATTGTCGCCCTCTGTAGCTGTAACACAGGCTGTTAGGTATAAACTTTTTTGGGTAAATAAAATAAGATCTAAATGAGTTTATTCATACTATTTTAATTAGACTTATTATCTAACGTGTACCCGACACTAGGTGTTAATCTTAGAAGAAAAAGTTAGTACCCTCGGTCGGCGCCTGTGAGTGACCTCCAGACTTCTCTTCAACTCGGGGGCTTGATGATCCGTCCGATTGGTCCTGTAGCAACAAATACATCTAAAATATGTAAGGTAAATTCACCGTTTTAGCTTGCAAAAGCTGCACAGGTTACATTTAGAGGTCATGGCTTGAGCTCACCTTATACAACAAAATAATATGCAGATACGATAACGCTTTACATATTTTTAATTAAAATTATATTGAAAAGTGAACGGACAGGGTCAGTTCAGTTAACGTAAGGAAGGACAAATAGTTAGGGCATTTTTGTGAGAAATTAGCCTTGTGGTTTTTTTGCCGAATCAAAACCGGTAAGAAACCAATTCTGTTCCACGAGGCGAAATGATATAGCATATCTTCGTGTATTGAAAAATTCACAGTTTTCATATTGAAACCAGTGAGTTTACGTAATACAATTATAACTCGAACTACCCCATTAGCTGACCTGTCGCTACAGCCGCTCGTTGACATGCCGAGAGCAATTTGAAAACTTGATTTCAGATAGTCTAACAGTTGGTGAACTAGGTTAATTGCTCTGTATTGTACTGTCACAGCTCATAGGAAATAATGAAGCAATGAACATTTTCACGTAACGCTTCTCTTAAGGAATAATAATTAGGTCAAGGATTGGAGGTTGTAACTATTTTAAAACACATGGCATTATTGCAGTTATTTTTCAACCGGCTTGAAAAAAGAAAGTTATTAGATTGACCTATATGTTTGTGATGTTGTTGGAATTAGCTAATAATGCATTAGGACGATCTCTAGGACGTGTGCTATATATCGACCGTGTAGGTAGTAGTAATATATTAGGCAACAACCCATATTTCAAAACCTAGTTATTGTGATATGGTTACGCTAATTTCTAATTGGGAAGTGTATTACTTTTACTCCAGTTTTTAAACCCTCGCGACATTTTTATTAAAATTTACACAAAAACGCCTGATTTACTTGTGCCTACGTACCTGAATAATTCATTCATCTTTTAATAATCTTTTTGTACAGAATAATTAAAATAATTTAAAAACAGTAGTCCCAACGAACTACCTACTTCATACGCCGGTAAAGTAGATCTTACAGCTCAGTGTTACACAATACAAGAGTCAAGATCTAAAATTATCGTGATTTCGTGGAAACTCTCAAACAAATATAAAAGACATCGGAATTATATTTTTATCCGAAATGAGGTCAGCTTAAAGAATCAACTTTTGTGACTTTTTTATTTGATGTTTATGTAATAATTAAATTATTATTTTTAGAGTAAAAGTTGTGGTATGAACTTCCTCCTACACCCCTATTTCTAGATGTGATAGAAAATTTACCTATTTATCCTGTCGGGTAAACAGAACTTCTATCGTGCGTAGGATTTATAATATCATTAAGATATTGTTACATGTGCCTCACAGGTTCTGTAAATAAACCGGTATTGCTGCAAAAACCTTTATATGGAGCGAGTTTACAGTAGCGTCATTAGGTATATTAGGTCCTTACATATGAAATTGGCGTATTTCGTACTGGCCACTTTAATCACGATGTTCTCCTCTTTGGTAAGGAATTCCAAATTCAAATTTGTACAGCTATTTACTCATCTATTTGTGCTTCGATGACCGTCATTCATTTGTTTTTTTCTGTTTGCGTCACTCATTTTACAAAATGGAAAACTTAAAGTATCGCATTATTTACGAGTACGAGTTCCGCCGTGGCACTAGTGCTGCGGAAACGACTCAAAGGGTGAATGATGTGTATGGCGGTCATGTTGCAAAAGAAAACACAGTTCGTTTTTGGTTCCAACGTTTTCGTTCTGGAAATTTGGACCTGCAGAACAAGCCCCGTGGACGGCCTGAGACCCAAGTTGATAATGAAGTATTGAAGGCTATTGTGGAAGCGGATCCATCGCAAACCACGTCCGAGTCAGCTGCAGGCTGCGGTGTTAGTGATAAAATTGTTTTAATTCACTTGAAGCAAATTGGGAAGATTAAAAAGCTTGAAAGATGGGTACCTCACGAATTGACTGAAGCAAACCGGCAAACGCGCGTCGACTCTTGCGTTACATTACTGAACCGGCACAATAATGAAGGTATTTTAAACCGAATCATTACCTGTGATGAAAAATGGATTCTTTACGATAATCGGAAGCGCTCAATGGTTGGATCCTGGCCAGCCAGCCAAATCCTGCCCCAAGCGAAAATTAACCCCAAAAAAGTTACTTGTAAGCGTTTGGTGGACTAGTACCGGTATTGTTCATTGCAGTTTTCTCAAATCTGGCCAGACTATTACGGCTGATGTCTATTGTCAGCAATTGCAAACCATGATGGAAAAGCTAGCGGCTAAACATAAAACAACCTAGGCTGGTCAATCGCTCCACGCCACTGCTACTTCATGACAACGCTAGACCACACACTGCACAACAGACGGCTACCAAATTAGAAGAGCTTCAATTGGAATGTCTAAGACATCCTCCGTACTCCCCGGACCTTGCTCTAACAGATTACCATTTTTTTCGAAATTTGGACAACTTCTTGCAAGGGAAAAAATTTAACTCTGATGGGGCAGTCCAAATCGCCTTCACAGATTTTATTGATTCCCGTCCGACTGTTTTTTTTCAGTAAAGGGATCAATGAACTACCTATGAGATGGCAAAAGTGCATAGAAAACAATGGTTCATACTTTGATTAATAAAATATATTATATTTAAAAATATTCGACTTTTTGTTAATCCCATACAAAACGCCAATTTCATATGTAAGGACCTAATATATCCTGTCTAATTAATATTATTATATTATTAATATAGTTTCTTTCTTGTTACTATTAAGATATAGTATTTGACACTATTAGCTAATCTGAAAGAATAGTGTATGTGTATTTTCATTATTAAAAATATTAAATTTACACAATAATTTATATACCTGATGATGATCAAGGTTGGCTGTAGCAGTCAGTAGGCCTAAAATTGCGGAGAAAGAACCTCTAGCCGCGCGCCGAAACCCTTCAGGTGGTGACTCGGCAGCGCCGCCTGCGACGCTTAGTGGTGATTGAGACCACTGAAACGATTGATAAGTAATAAAAAGGAAAAAACCTTATTTTTGTATGTGATTGTATTTGATTTTAAAAAATCCACCATTAGTGTAGTTAGATAGTTACATTTTATTTAAAAAATATCCAGCGTTGCGAGCTGGGACAGTCTGCTTGGTAAATTTATCATAACTAAGAATGCAGTGTTTCTTTTGAAACATGGTAAACAGTATTTAATTCTTTCTGATACCAATTTAATGTCATTTATTTATTATTTAAAAAACTAAATTACTATTTGATTATTAATTCAATTATTTTACAGGAAGTAGACGTTGTCAGTAAGCTTTGTATCCATTAATTATAATCGTTATAAAATATTCATAAACCCATAATTGCCTACGCGACTTAATTGTCGTAATAAACGCAACGCCGCGGAAATCCTAATGAAATCAAGCAAACATTGATTCCTGTTTGGAATGTTTTCAACACTCTAATGTGCGTTAATGAAAACGGCAGATAATACATAAGAGAGGCTTAGGGCATGATATAAGATTGATAACTTAAGAATTTCTACATTCCATATAGGTAGTTTCACTATACTTCCGGCTAACTTACTACTGTCACACGACCGAGGATTTAAGCGTGTTTATTAATAAGATGTAGTAAATCGTTTTTTATAAATTTCAATTTAGTTAAAAATTATTGCTGACAAATAGGTACTGACTGTAGGTAAACCTGTATATTTCTTAATATTGATTACTTGTTTTTAATCCTGGTCCATTTCTTTGAGTTTGAAATAGTAACTTGTACTTAAAATATATTAAATGTTTTACTCAAAAGTTTTTTCTCAAAAATTGCTCAACGCTTCCCTTTGCGGTTGGGTTTGCTTTTCGAGATTTTCCAGTTTTAACTTCATCTATCAGTAAAGTTTTTCGTTTAACCGAGGAAAGTATCTTCCAAGTTTCAGCGCAAGTGTGTAACAAAGTTATAATGAATTTTAAAAAGCTTCAAACCGTCACAGGCTCTGAATAATAAATAACAATGGTTTTAATAGTATATAAATGCTTCTCTGAATCTAAATAAAAAATAAATTTTATATCAATGAAAGATATTAGTATATTATATAACCATATCTTTTTTTCCTTAATAAGGAAAAAATGACATGACAGTGAAAGTAAGAACAAATATGCATTATGGGCTAAGACAATGTTTTTTTAATTACACCCAAGAACTGAATAAATGTTATTATTTAATAACTCTGAAATGTTTTAACTCGTTTATTTCTGAAATTGCAACGATTTAAATTAATTTAGTGAGATTTCAGTATTACAATAAGCAAATATATTTTTAAGGCTACTTTTAAAATAAATGGGCTTAAGTAGACCAGCTGCTACTTACCAAGTTTTACGGTTTCATTTAAAATTCTTGTATTGTAAGAAAACATGTTTATAGCAAAATATCATACACTTTTAAAAGTTGTATCATTATTATTAACTTACACGACATTCTGTGAAGCCCGCGGCTGAACAACACGAACTTTTAGGTAATTAAACTTGCAATAAGCTTCTTTGTTCGCGAGTGGTACAAAGTTTAGGTACCTACTAATAATTTGCGGTTAAGCTGTTAATAAAAATGAATGTTTGATGTAGAGGTATGGAGTATGGACAACTTTTATCTTTTAAAAAAACCCTCACCTCTACAGATAAACAGGTAATCATCACCTTTTATAATTATTTAACGCGTGTCGATAATAAGGACAGTTTTAAACTATCTCAAATGTTGCTAATATAAATCCAATTTATACCGCACCGTGAAGTGTTTGCCTAGTGTCTTCAGCGTGCGACCCTCATCCCTGAGGTCGTAGGTTCGTTTCCCAGCTGTGCACCAACTGCCTTTCGGTGATGGAAAACATCGTGAGGAAACCAGCTTGCCTTGGACCCAAAAAGTCTACATGGCTATTAGGTTGACAAATAATCATGAAACAGATACAGAAATCTGAGACCTAAAAAGGTTGTAGCTAAACTGTTATTTTTTTATATTTACACCGCTAAGGTATCATTTAGGTAGTGATAATACTCGCGTATTTAAAAGACAATAATTTTGTTTTAAAATAAATAAATAATTCTATCTATAGAAAATTATAACTAACTAACAGTTTCTATGTCTAGAAAAAAATATAAATTTTCTGTCATTGCAGAATTAATTTCATTTGATATTTACAGGTTTGCATAGTTCACGTGGGAGAGATCGCAAGGCCCAATTATCTTGGAATTACCGTACATACATTGTTAACGAACTTGAAACAAACGAACATGAATAATATAATGAGGTACAAGGCTCAAGTGCGATGTTTACTGAGCTGAGAATGAATTATTAAAACGTTGTCGGATCACTGGGCTCAACGTCAACCGAAAGAGAATAGAAAAACTGTGAATGCTATTATTTATATTGCTGAAGGTTTAGATAGTACAGTTAGCAAACATAAAGCCCGTGTCCTTTTTTATATATACGAGTCTCCCTTTAAGGGTAGTCGTCGCAGCCCATTGACACCCATTTTAATGTGTGCATTAAAAAATATGTTTATTATGGAACATAGGATACAGGTATCACTTATTTCACGTCATTAAATTTGAAACTGCAGGCATCCCTACTCATCGGCAAAGAAGACAGAGGGTGTAGGCCGAGAGAAAAAGCCGGCGTATTAAACTCTCGGTACTCTTTTAAAATAGCAAATCATCAAACAACACTTTGACGGCCTTTGAGGAAGGATTTCTTTTAAACAGTTGGCTGTTGGAGGTCGTATCTCCCAGGAAAGGTCACCGGGAGTCCATTCCATAGTTCGCAAAAGGAAATGTCTGGTGAAGCGGGCCGTCCATCAAGGTGATACAGAGGTTGCCTTGATCGCTCTGCGATTTGGCCATCTATTGCCCTCCTAATTATTTAAGAGTTCTAATTGTACTGGATTTGAATAGCAACTAAGTACAATTTAGAAGAATATTGGTAAAAGTCTTTTAGTATTTTTTTTCCAACGTAAGTCATAAAATTATTAAAACTTTAGCTACCACTTCGAAAATATTTTTCTTATAATAAAATAAAATAACGTTCCGCGCATACACTTCTCAGTTCAAAGTACATTGTTTCTTTCCATTTTTGGTCATCGTTTCTTGAAGTTGGGCGAATGGAATAAATATATGGTGGAGTTGAGTAGTTTATGTATCCATTTTGAAAGATCGATACACATTTAAAATAACTTCGCTCTATAGAAAAAAAATCCAAACAGCCAATTTTTGACACTTTGAATTCATTTTATGACGAAAATGTATATAGAACATGATTATGAAATTTTCACGATATATTATATCGCAAGCCAAGTAATCCATTACAAAAGAAGAAAATTGATAAAATTAAATTAATTTAATGTTTTACATAACTAATTGTTATTACGGGCCGGCGCGCCTCAGTGCTCCAGCCTTCCACTGCGCCCCGCAGTCCACCCCGAGACACTGACACAGCAATTCGTGCTGGGATAGGGCCTTAACGTCTATATTTAGAATCAGGAAAAAGTAACTGTGACCGCCCCGAACAAACCGTCGTTGCAACGTCGAAGGAGGCTGGAAATTAACTAAGAAACTCAAGGCTGCAGAAAAAGAGAGCACACAATATCCGCGAGGATCTATGCGAACGGATAGTTCAGCAACTTCAAGTAAGAAAATATTGTAAACCTATTTTAAAAGAGAAAGTGTGGAGTTTCTTGCCCATTCTTCTCCACACGAAACTACCTTTTGAAAGGGGCAACTAGAATCTTCTTTATATTTTATTTGACGTTCAAAAGTGCCATTTTAGGTGGTCTAATAGAAATAAATGATTTGACTTTGAAATGTATGAAATGGTTTTGTAACCAGCGACATGAAATGGTTCGGTATCCCATGCAATATAGTCCCAGCAAATTAAGGTATATACGTGTCTATAATCCAGTCTCTTCCGTTTATGGAAGAGGTGTAGGTAAATTGATAAAAAGGTTGCTCTGCAAGGGGATACACCCATAGAGTAAATAAATAAAAATCAATCAATGGCACTACAACCATTATAGGTCTGGGCCTCAAATTTCTGTATCTGTTTCATGAACATTTGTCAATGTAATAGGCAAGTAGGTGATCAGCCTTTTGTGTTTGACACACGCCGTTGACTTATTGGGTCTAAGGCAAGCCGGTTTCCTTACGATGTTTTCCTTCACCGTTCGAGCGAATGTTAAATCTCATTAGAAAGAAAGTCAAATGGTGTACAGCCGGGGATCGAACCTACGACTTCAGGGTTGAGAATCGCACGCTGCAGCCACTAGGCCAACTCTTTAACCATAGAGTAACACCATTAAACACCTGGCTCGTAATCTATATAAGTTGCTTATAAATATTCAATTAAGAACTATAAAGAGCAAGTAGATTATGCACATTATGCAGAAAATGTGATACAACATATGGTTATGTATAGGATTCACAAAGCACGTTCGCGCATTCTCAGAGGATTAGAGAATGTATGAATAGAGGCTTTAAATGTATAAAGCTCGCAATCTACTCATTACTTAACAATACCAAGCTTAAAACAGTTAGATATTTTTCAAATAAAGTTAAAATACAAAAGACGATTGCAGATAGACTAGTTTTTGTGTTTCGAAGTAATTATGTTGTGTTAGTTTTATCTATTATTTATATATTAGTTTGATAAATTGCTTATCTGTTTCACTTATTCACAATGTGAGTTTTCTGTAATAATCTTTAACTCCAGCGATTAAAGTTCAAATTCAAAAACAAGTTTTTATTGTGACATCATTATATTACAGACTTTTGTCCTTTTTCAATATTGTTTGTAAGCGGGGATATAGCTCAGTGGTAGAGCATTCGACTGCAGATCGAGAGGTCCCCGGTTCAAACCCGGGTGTCCCCTAATTCTATATTTTATTAATTTTATACATACGAAACATAATTGTGCAGTATTTAAGTTTTTATGATACGATGCGTCAAGCTACATAAAATAGAAATTAATTTGATTTCATTAAAAATATAGTAAATTAAGATTTTTTTTACACAAGATGTTTCTTAACTATAATCACCTGGTCAGTGAGGGCCGGGTCTGCCCCACGAGCCAGCAACAACTCAACAATGTCTGTCGCATCAGCCGCGCACGCAGCATGCAGCGCTGAAGATCCCACCTAAATCCAAATATAGATAGATTTTAGAATCTCAATCATTGGTAGAAAAGCAAAATATCTTCAATTTTAAGATAATATATTTTAAATAACATTATTTCATACGATATCCATTATCTTTCGTAATCAATATTAGTCTTCCTAATGATTGTAAAATAAAATTACATTATTCTGTAAATGCACATCTGCTCCAAATTCAAGGAGGTGTTCTACAATGCCGCGACATCCCTGCGCACACGCCATCTGCAGCGCCGTCACACCATTCTGCAACGAAATTAAACTCAGTATTGTTTCTTTTGAATTTCAAAGAAACAAATTAATTATGAATTCATAGAGGATAAGAAAACTTTTTTAAAGTATAGGGACGAGCCTACAAAACGTCCAAAAAAGGCCAGACATTGCAACCCATTTTAGTGGATGCCTTGCCGACCATTGAGGGTGGAGTACTTATACTCTTTTATTTTAGTAAAATTAATAAACATATACTCACGTTATCAACAGCATCTACGTTACACTGGCTTTCCAATAGGGTCTGAACCAGCTCAGTATGACGATGGACTGCTGCAATATGCAATGGAGTTCTGCCGGAGTTATCGCGAGCCTCGCGCGATGCTCCTTTTGCTATCAGGAGAGCGGCAGAGCTGCTGTGACCTCCCTCACACGCGAGGTGAAGTGCCGTGCGACCAGCCTAATACAAAAAATAGAAATATGTAGTCGCTTGCCTCGGGGAACAAAGTAGTAAAAGCAAAATCAATTATTTCAGGAAAAATAAAAGAAAGTAATGCTATTATTCGTAGCATACTTAGTACATTACATATACAAATATATATATATCAGATGAAAGCTATTTATTTCCAATTCGACTATTTAAACATAGTTTTTATATATTTAATGTAAATAGTTTAAAAATAACTAAATGAACATTAGAGTAATTTATCTAATTAGACTTAAGGGCCAAAGCGTTTTAAGATTGTGTCCCTGTTAAAACAGAATTACGGACGACACAGTAACAGCACATTACGACGGTAATTTTGACGAATGTCTAGAACGTCATAATTTATTAATAATAATAATTTATTTATTGCAAGAATATGGTACAAAATGTTAAGGTGATACAATCGTAAATCGTTCGCATATTCTGCCACACACGATGGCGCGCAAATTTGTCTTAAGGAATTTTACATTATTAGTCAAAGTCAATTCTTATATTAATATCTTTATAAATTGTAGCCTATGTGTTGTTTTGATGTATATGCTTTATTATTGTAGAGTTTCATTAAAACCCATTCTGTAGTTTTTACATGAAAGAGTAACAAACATCCATCCATACTTACAGACTTTCGCGTTTATAATATTAGTAGGATATATTTCTACATATTTGCTCTAATAGCTTTTCAAAAGAACAAATACTTTTAGTTACTTGTTCTTCTATTTAAACAAAGACCTTTATATGTTCCCTACTTATTTAAAAAAGTGAACGAAACAAAAAAGAATTTATACAATTATTGTGCCTAAGGATAAAACGATGTGTTCGCTTATAGCTAGCCAGATAATAACATAATATAAAAATAAACTCAACCCCGAATAAATGGAGTTCGTGAATATTGATGCTTCTAATGTTTTGGAACGAAATTAGCCCATTGAATGGAATTGAATTTCGGTGAGTAATTATTAGAACTGACGAGGAGTGTAACGGACATTATTGGAAAGTAGGAACTCGAGCGTACAAATTTTCTTTCTTGGTTTACATTGTTTCTTATATTGTTAACCTTTTTCTTATATAAATCCTTAGATTTTATAAATGAATCCCTTTTGAATTAAAATATCCCTTAGTAGCGTCTGTATGAACGCGATAAACTTAAAAAACCGAACGGATTTTTGAATGGTTTTCAGTCGTAGATTCCGATTGCCAGGATTCATTATGTTTTGTTATATGTTAGAAATGAAATATTGAAGAGTTGTGAATTTAGGTAAGATTTTTGCCAAAATACTCGATACCACGCGGGCCACTACGTTGGTACCTATTCAGTCTGAACGTTAGCGCTATTTATAGCTTTCGATTTGAATATTAAATAAACAAATAAAACCTAAAATTACTTAAACATTTCACGTCTTATAACTCGATTAAGTCGAACATTAAGTTATAATTAAGAGAGGAACGCAATATATTGTCTAATAAAGAAGCTGATATAATTCTATCAAGCAAGACAAGAACACAATTTACCGTACAATTACGATCCATTAAAAACCTTAGACCATGAATTTCTTAAGTCGTTAAGTATACTTAGTACGTACCTGTTCCTGATTTAGTAGGAACAGTTTTGATAACTGGCTGAAAATCTACTTTTTTTTAAAAAAAAAGCTTCTTTGTGGTAAGGTTGTCCAAGGTCAACCTACCACAATGAAGCTTCAAGATATCCTCGTAGTCAATGTCAATTAGAATATTAATTTACTTAATATTTCCTGACTTTGAGATTTAATTTAAACAATATTACACGCAGAAATTGTTAAGATATTTGATGAAGCAAGTAATTTAGTTGTTTTTGCCTAGCAAGCTTTGTCAGACATTAACTGTCTGTAAAATTATGTTTCATTTGTTTAATGTAATAAATATTCAAAGAATGAAGAATTTACGCTGAGTTAACTAAAACTCTTATTTATTTGAAAATTTTATACAAATATGTAATTTATTAGGTTCTGAATCTGTTTCATTGATAAATGTTGCTTCAAAGTCGTCGACCCACACTAAAAATAAAACCGACTTCAGAATTAATTAGAAAGTATGAAAAAATGATATCATATTGATTTTTGATATCATTCTGACACTTCAATCATCAAGATCAGTCCACCAACCAGCTGTGCTTGAACATACACTCAAAAATTTCACGTCGAATTTATAACCATCTCCTTCGGATTTTAAGGTAATTTATCGATATATAAAAGATATTATGGTATATGTCATTTGTTTATTTTGTAAAGTAATGCTTATCTCATGATTTGTTTAATCTGTGGTCTATGTAGCGCAATAATAATCTGTGGTGTTTTTTATTCTGTGTGTGTTGCTGCCCTGCGCTGTTTAATATGTTAATAATGGAGTATTGTGATAGTTAATTAATTGTTGTAGATAAAGATAAATAAATGATTCTATATAAAAGGAATTATTAATCATATAACAAAACAAAATCACAAGCTTTTATGATAGTCTATGTTCTTTTTTGCTGCTGAAGAGTAACAGTACATCAATCTTATCGCTTTCTAATTTGCATCTTTAAACTTACATATTCATTTTGGAAAGTACATATATTATATTTTTATGTTTTTTATATAATTTTTCTTATGTAAGTAACATGTATCTTTTTCACGAGAAAGAACTTATTTAAACCTAAATTATATAACTATATTACCGTATTGTTTTTTTAAATATCCAAATAGATAACTACATGGCCATGCCGATTCCTAACGATGTTTTCCATACAAGTAATAAGTAAAATGTGTACATAGACAGAATAATCGTTATCACATAATTATATATACATCCACTTATCAAAAGTATGAATAAACAAAAGACGGCTTGATTTTTTTTTGGCGTGGAGACCTGACGAATTCATCGCCCAATGGTATTTGGTCGGGAAAACCCAGTGACAATTCTGCGCTCTTTGACGAACATGTCAACTATTACCCGATTTTCGGACCAATTCGACTTAGGGTCCTTCAAGAAAAGAGCGTATCAATTCTTCCGGAAACGCACTTGCGAGCCTTCTGCCAATGTATCGGTATCACTTAACATCAGGTGAGCCTCCATCCCGTTTGCCTTACATGCATTAAAAAAATATTATAAAACCAGCATGAAACGAAACTGACACGATTTCCTAAAATGACCTAATTTGACTCGTAAGCGGACATTTTATGGGAATATTATGCGAATGGAGCTCACTAACGACCAATTCATTGTAATAATCATATTGACATACCGTTTCGACAAAATTTATGTTTTAATCTTTAGCAACGTAATAGGATATCTAAAATATTTGTTTGCTTCTGTAATTTACCAATTTATTATTAGATATTAACAGGTTCACTGTCCAAGCATAAAAGTGGAGATTATTTTCAAAGTGACGTGAAAATTACGGTCGTGCGTCACAGAGGGCATTCTTTATGAGGCTTTCTGATAATACGTCTATCTCGTGCTCCTTGCGTTCAACTTCGTACACCTGCTGTTTCGAGGTCCTAGACAACTCCATAACACCAACGCAGCCCAAACCCCGTAGACCGACTACGGGGTTTTCTCTTGCCACCAGGTTGCGGGTTCAGTAAGGATCTTTCTATCATCCGCCATTCGTTGCTCGACACTTGAGCCTGTTGCATTTTATGAAATAGACGATGTTGGCGTCGTCAAGGATGTTATTGTTCTTCATTGTAGCGAATACGTCAAGAATAACTAACTTTAATGCAAGAATAAACATTGTGCCTAATGCCGTTAACTCATCGGGATGTGGCAACGTCACCAATTTGGAAGCGCAGCCAGGACTAAAGCTTTAAAAACCTTTCTGAAACCTTTTTTTTTCCTTTCTGGAACTTTCGCCAAGTGAGTTAACTGCCATACATTTCAACACAAATTGTATGGATACGTATCTAAACATCGACGTCGCCATGGCATCCCGGTGAGTTAGCGGCCTAAATATCCAAAACTCGGATAAATTATCAATGTTTATAACGGCTATACGAATTCAATAGTTTTACGACTAGAGTTAGATCACTCTAACTAAACTTACCTTATTGATTGCATCAATATAAGCTCCTTTATCCAACAAAAGCTCCACCACGTTGGCGTAACCGGCTCTGGCAGCAAGCGCAAGGGACGCGTCACCCGTTGTATCGGTGGTTTGCACTCTTGCACCGATAGAAATCGCGAACATGGCAACGTCGTATGAACCACGAGCGCACGCGCATTGTAGAAGATCATTCTGTTTCTGATAAAGTTTGATAGATGTTAGATATTCGTTTGGGTTTTCGAAATACGTGTTCATTTAGCGGTCTTCAGTGACAGAAATGAATGTTTCACCGGGATTAGAACTCTAGAAGACCTATGTGCCTAAAAACAGTACCTAAGAAAACAATTCTAAACGCTTTGAAATCTATTATTTAAACGCTCAAGCGTTATATGAACGTAATATTTTATGTAATATTAGATAAGGATTATATTTTCAAGGATGAAATGCCTCATTAAATCGTCGAGAGACCGATTAAAATCAAAAAATGAAGTGCAGAAATAAATATTTATTGGCCATATAATTTATGTTCGATCTTATCTTTATGTCATAGGCATTGTTTTATGAATAAACTACAATCCTTTTAACTTTCTTTTTCATTACTGGTTTCCTATTTAGAAACCTTATTCTGTCATAAGAATAGGAGAAAAGAGGCACTCTTTTAAATAGTCTCTTTTGTCTTTTTCTATCGAATTGTATTTACCCTGAGTTGAAGAGAGACAGTAGGTACATTACGTAAAACGGTGCTATTAAACTGATATAGTTTTTATGAATGAAAAGTTAATAATAATTATTATTAATAAATTATTATAACTAATAAAGAATAATGTCGCAAAAACTAAAAAAATATTAATATTTAATGCCTGTTATTACAATTTAAAATTACTAGGGTATTATAAAACCTTATTGGTAGCTGCCAGACAAGCCCCAGCTTGAACTAGAACTTGCACAGCATCCAAGTGTCCATGCCACGCTGCCATTAACAATGGTCGCATGCCAAACTGCGAATCAACAACCATAGATTATAGGTCGGTTATCGAAAGCTGGCGGGTTCACAGTACTCACACTAATGCAATTTCTCTCTGTTTGTCTCAACTGTTTTTATTAAGATGCTTAAAATAATTAAAAACATTGTGCACCATTTCACGAGATTGCCCTGGTAATGTTTGAAAAAAGATCAACATGTATAGTAGAGATCAACATAAACAGTAGCAAAAGCAAAACAATAACTGTCTCTTTTATACTCATAAGCTTGACCGAGCGCGAGAGAGACGGACAGTCTTTAATGATGTATTTGTGATTGTATTTCAGTTTGACATCACGCCTCGCGCTTATTCACAGACACTACACAAGCACAAAGTGTAAATGTGTTGAAGCCGTCAGCTTTAAATAACATACATACACTATTTTTAACTTTAATTATTCATATAAAAAACCAAAGAATTCTACTAGGAGATAATATTCGATAAAGGTATCTCTTTATTTTTGGAGTCGTAATCATAACTAGAATGATACAAACACTAAACAGAAATACATAATTTAAATAATAAAGGTTAATTAAGGGAATTTTCAAATATTAATTGCTTTTCTACAACCGGAGAAGAGAGAAGGTACACAGACTAACTTCGTTCTATAAAAAATAAATAAATCAGTGGCGCTACCTTTTTAGGTCTGGGCCTCAGATTTCTGTACTGTTTCATGATCATTTGTCAATCTAATAGGCCCGACACATGCCGTCGACATTTTGGGTCTAAGACAAGCCGGTTTCCTCACGGTGTTTTTCCTTCACCGTTCGAGCGAATGTTAAATGCGCACATACAAAGAAAGTCTATTGGTACACAGCCGGGGATCGAACCTACAACCACAGTGGTCGCACGCTGAAGCCATTAAATCCAACATGACTCTGTGATCCTGTCAAATTCGTTCTATATTCGCCAATATTGACGGCCCCAATCCTTATTCTACGTAAAATTTACCGATTATTCAATATGGCCGCAATATCAATAAGCACGGAATATTCAATATTACCTTGTCAACAGCCTCAATATCGCAGTTGGCGTTGATCAGTAATTTGATTATCTCCACATTGCCTCTACTCGCTGCCCAGTGTATCGGGGCCCGCCCATACTGAAACATAATTATAGTATTGATTCTGTAACGCTTTAAGAAAACTTCTGGTTGACCTATTATCAATGAGAAATAGAAAATCGAAACATTAAAGTCAAGCCACTCTTGGTAAATAGGCCTTTAGGTACACTATTAAATAGTAAAAATTCGTTAAAAAAAGTTATTGCCATATATTGTGCTTTTTACCCCATTTTGTAGCATAATATCAATATATAATGGTATCTGTTTCGTGATTATTTGATTTTCTGGAAGACAAGTAGGAGATCAGTCTTCTGTGCCTGACACACGCCATCGATATACATACATATTCTGGGGCGCGGTGAGCCGGTTTGATCACGATGTTTTCCTTCACTGTTCGAGCGAATGTCAAATGCGCAAATAAACAGAAAATCCATTGGTGCACAACTAGGGTTCGAACCTACGACCTCAGGGATGTAAGTCGCACGATGATGCCACTTGGCCAACACTGCCTAGCATATATTTGTATTTGAAATAAAACTAAACATTTAAAAACGGAGGGCAATCGCTTGCGCTTACCAGATCACAATTACCCTAAGACTCCCGAGTGCGTTGCCGGCATTTTAGAAACCGGTACGCTTCATGAAAGACTCAAGGAGGTTCGGAAATTCGACGGGAAGCTGTATCCGCTTACACAAAAAACCTAACCCATCTAAAATATATTCCTCCTGACTTAATCACATGCTTCTATAAAAAACCCAGCTACCAAAACATTATTTCAATCTCTGAATACTTCATGCGTGTTCTTGAGAGTTAGATACTATCTGGAATGGTAAATACAACCCGGAGTCAGGGGTGATAAAAAATTCAAGCACGGCTGGTTGAGCTTACATTTTGGATGAAGGTCGAATCTTGTGTCACGTTTCCGAACGAACGCAATTTTCAGATGAACTTCGAAAAAGTTATATTAAAAACAGAACAAATTTTCACAACCTTACATTAATTTGTGGGGGTTACAACAAGCGCTAGTACATATCTATCTATCTATATGTAACTATCTATCTATATTTTGTTATATAGAACAGGGGGTGAACGGGCAGGAAGCTCATCTGATTTTAAGTGATACCGCCCGCTCATGGACACTATGCCCGAGGTCTCGCGAGTGCGTTGCTGGCCTTAGAATTTTGAAAAAAAAATGCTATTTGAAGTTACAGTGCTGGCGCTGATATATAAATTATGACCGTCAGTATCATATTAATTCAAAAGATTTGTTTTAAACTAAATTTTGTCCTTGGTCACTTGTTTTTTTTTGTAAACTTTTAATCCTTAAATATTTAACATACTTATATATTTTCAAACACAGTTGATTAAAATACAAGTACTCAATAAATAGTGACAATGCGATACATTCCCCTTAGAAAAAATAAATAAATTGGGGCTGAAATTTGATATAATAATAATATAAAAAAACATTTTGTTTTTAAAATAGAAGTCATTAGAAGTCATCCTAACGGAACGCATTCTTTAAAATGGGAAATTATGGTGGAAAATATCTCTGCTTGAAAAATTCTACGGAGCTGGTAAATCAAGACTTGTAAGTAACAATTGGGGTCCCCCATATTCTTCAAGTTCTCCGAGTTCTTCGAGTTCAAGCGAGGTTCATCAGTGGTAACTGAACAATTGACTAAAAAGTGGAAAATATGATCTTGCCGTATCGTCGTTTGTTTTAAAGTAGAAATGAAGATATCTATAGAGTGTGCATAATAATATAGACAATAGGCCTGGATTTAGAGGTTTGTAGGCTTCTGGACAACAAAGTCCCAAATTATTTAAAATTATTTTCCAAATAATATAAATAATTTTTAACAGTCGAGTATTTTAATAAATAATTTATTGTGAAACCAAGTAGATTATTTTAGTATTTAACAAACATATAAAATTATAAATACAGATCAATGATTTCTGTCAATATTTAAGAACAATATAATCATGTTTGTACAAAGGTAAAGGTAAAACAACGAAAAAAAAATATCAAAAGAAAAGTTGTTTACTAGTGTTTACTAGTCGGAATTTAAAACATTTTTTTCCGATGTCTCTATTGTGGGGGCCCCTATTTTGTGCAGGCACCGGGGCTGTGGCCCTCCCCTAAATGCAAAAAAGTGTCAGCGCGCCTTAATGCTTTTTGACCCGCAGCAACCAACCAGATAGAGAATTTTACTCATATGGCCGGGATAGAAAAGAAACAATCCATGATTTGGATGAGACCGTCATCTCCACCTCCGAAGAATTTTGAGGCGATTCCATCTGTTTTTTGATTTTGGGTTATTTTTCTGGGAAAGGCAAGGGGTGGTAAATATTGAGCCACTATTACGGGGAGTTTGTATGCAGTACAAACAGTGTTGCGTGATGAAATACGCAAACAGCGTCGCAAACTCGCAAAAGTTTTGTAACACCAATATTCCACACAAGGCCAGAGTTGCAATGACTGCCATCCAAACAGAAGAACCATTGGAACATCCTCCATATTCACCGGACCTAGCCCCAAGCGATTTCTACCATTTCTTCTATAAAAGGAACAACACGGGGGCTACAATTTCGAAGATGATGACGTAGTAGTCGCTGCGGTACACGGTTTTTAAGAGATGAGGAAAAATATATTTTGCTTGAAAAAGCTTTGGAAAAAATTAATAATAAATACAATTTTATTTAATAAAAGATAATTGCTTTATACTCATTATAAATTTTTATTAAACACCCCTAAGTATTATTCCATTTAACCACAATATTTTTTTTGTAAATTGTCATTGATTGTGATATAAATTACTGAATTCATTTTATTTATCTGTTAAATAAAAATGTAATTAAGAACTCCTTTATATTTGGAAACCATCGTAATAGCGATGATTAAATTTTATTATTTATTGCGATTTTACGTTTCGACGCCGCAACGCAGTACCTTTCCATCCTGATAAAACATGATCTCAAAATAGCACTTACATTATTCCTACAGTTGACATCTGCGGGTCTCTGCAAAGCCTCTCTAACAGCAGCTGGCTCATTCTTGATGACGGCTTCATGAAGCAACAGGTCGTTCTGTTGTACCCGAGACCGGCTTTCGCACATCTGTTAAGCAAAGTTAATGTTGGACACACTCTTAACAGGAATAATACGTTACGTAGTTATCGTAACAGAATAGTGACGCAAAATGTATGGAATACTTATGCAGTGCTCCGTTGGTGTATTTAAAAGAAAACTGTAGAACATTCAAATAGAATTCGTGTCGTCAAAAACATTAATAGTGGATGTCGAATTCAACTAAATTTTTACTCAAATCATAAATCAAAATTGAGAAACAATTCAATTGGTAGCGTTTGAGTTATTAGTAACATTGAATTTGCTTTTATTTTATCTGTTTTTCATTAAATCAACGAATTAGATTGATTCTTTGAATGAATTTAGTTTGAGACTACTTCGAATCATTTCTGTTTGTAAAATAAAAAGATTCATTATAATGAGCTTATAAATTCCACAGTCACTATTTAAGTCAAAAGAAATGTTCAGTATTTACTTTTACATTATTTTTATTTTTTCTAGACCTGGTGTCAATGTTAGAAAGCACATGAGCAAATATTATCGTTTTAACTTGCCACGACTGCATGGACAGCCATCGAGATATTTCACAACCAATTCGTCGTAGGGTCCGTGATGAGATGTGATTTTAATTTTATAGGAGCAAATTTTAAAATACGTCTTGGACAATTGATTTAGATAAGTGTTTAATGTTCTTCCATAGCTTAACACTACACGAATTAATACAATATGTAAATTTAGTTTCGATTGAAATAAATGGTTATCCAAAAGCTTTGCATTTTTCTTAAAAACAATTTCGTAATACGTGAAGAACAAGAATTTCATTTTTATGATTATGATTTTTATTCAGAATGTCTGATTCGTTTAGGGTTACCCAATATTATTGTTCTCCATCGGCGTCAGAATATTGAATAATCAAAGCCTTATTAAATTTTTGAGTGTATTGATAAAGGTTCTTGGAATTGTATAAATTGAAAATGAAATTTAAAGAAAATAATTTTATTGATATGTATTTAAATAAATTTTATTTAATTATAAGTACCTATTTAAAAAAAACTTGATACCACCTTATAAGAAAGATGTACAATGATCTGAGACAGTGCACTAAGATTTCTTGTGTCGTGGGCAGCTAGACGCGAAGCACAAAAAACAATTTTGGATTAATTAAAATACCACAGAAGAAATTCGCTCATAGCCAGATTGCAAATATCCGCAGAATTTTTTTTAACTAAAAACATAAATAATATTTTTATTCAGATCAGAGCTATGTAAAAATCGCAAATAAATCCGTTTAGTACTTTAGAGTATCGTTTCTCAACCATTTTTACGTCGCGACCCGAAGAGACAAGAAGCCAAAAAGTAAAACAGTCTTGTGACTCCGTCACTGTAAAATCATAATATGTAATACTAGCTGGTTCCCACGAATTGTCTGCGTAGGATTAGTATTTCGAGTAGCTTATATTAGCGTGGCGTAGAAAAGAACTAACATTATGTCTTTAAAATTATCACATAAATAATTTTGGTTCGTATTTGAAAAATAAAACAGCCTGACAATATTGAGATGTTTCAGTTGCACTATAATAACGTAACAATATTGTCAACACAAGAAATACGGTAACTAAGCACTGCAGAGCCCCAATGATAGGGATAAAGTAGTATGCTCCTATAAACTAAGGAAACACGTGAGCAAGCCACATAGAGCTGACCATGTGACTATAGATATATACTGTGGGCTTTTTTGTAGGACTATTTAAGATAAACATTTCCATCATACGTTACATATATGTAACTCTAGCGGTTTTGGCAACGCACGCCAAAATAGCTCGCTGATGGTATATTATTTCCTACTTACTTGACATTTTGGACAATATCTTAATAAATTGTAGCCTATGTGTTATTCTGATGTATGAGCTATATTATTGTAAAGTTTCATAAAATCCATTGAGTAGTTTTTACGTGAAAGAGTAACAAACATCCATCCATACTTACAAACTTTCGCGTAGATAATATTAGTAGGATGAACATAGCGCGCTATTTTTAATGAATCTTCTGTACCTATATGTAGTTTGTATTTATTATTTTTCAAAGGACCGACCTCCTGTAAAAAAAACTCGACCTCTCGCTTGAGAAACGATGCTTTAGGCCGTTTCTCCACTGCTCCGGTCCGGCAAACGTTAATTACCGATCCGATTTAGAAACTCACAACAGTACTTACGTACTTCTCCACTACTCCGGCATCCGGTTTTTAACGGTCCGATAACTTGCTAGATCGGAACGCGGTGTTTTATCGGTCCAAGTATCCAAGAGGTTATAAATTATTATTCACAGGTTTATTTATAGTTTCTTTAATTTGAATGAATCTGGATAACCTAGACCAAACCAAATTATGTTGCTATTTATATTTTTATACCATAGTATTAGTGAACTATTTATTAAGTAGATTATAATATTTTAAGATAGACAATATAAAAAAGTAATTAACTTGCCATGGCAATAAAATATTTAGAATTTAGAACGTTGTATTAATAAAATAAAGTATATGGGTTTTAGTTAATATAAGTGTGGCATGATAAATATACAAGTATCGATTATTGTCGGATCGGATATAGTGGAGAAGCGCAATCCGGCCTTCCGATATTTTTCTCATGACTCATTCCGGTATCCGACGCCGGACCGGAGCAGTGGAGAAAGGGCCTTACAGTATAAGTACATACAGACAAAGACTAAAAGAAGTTTAAAAGTTATACTCTTATCGTATTCACTCCAATAATTATTCGATAAATTTATTACATACTAACACACATACATTTAGTACATACGCTCTAATGGCTTTATTGAGCAAAGCCTTCAGAAGCTTCCGACTTCCGGTACGGCTGTTTGAAGGTAATGAAATTAAGCGTCCCCTCCATAATTAAATAAGTGAGGAACACGTAGGTATATGTAGAAAAAATGTTTTACAATGTATTTTCCAAATATACATTAAACTTTCTATTATTTTATAATGCTTAGTTCACACGCGCGCGTTCAACTCTACATTCAACGTGCACATTTACATTCACAAGCGTGTAAACGGTACGCCCGAGCCCGTGAACGCGCCTGTGAACGTGAATGCCGCGAATCGGGCAAGTGTCGGTTTTTTGGCAAAGTTCAAAGGATGAATGTGCGGGCGCCCGGTGACTGTTTACACGCGCGCAGGCAGTCAGTCTCTCCCGCGCTTTCGCGACGAGTGGATCTTCATTCAACGTTGCTAAGAAAGTCGCTACGATCGGAGATTACAACATGGCGGAATATAATAATTTTGTTTCTTTTTCCAATAAAAATAAGTTAAGCCAAAGGATATGGCAGCAACAACACCGAGATCCTCGCTGCTCGCCATTCTGGCACTGACTGACACGACGGCGTGCGTGTGAACAGCTTGAATGTCCGCCGGCCCGGGACGGGCTGCATGCCGCGCAGCCCGCCAGGCAGCTCGCCTGGCTGCACGGCGCGCGTGTGACCGTAGCATTAAACTTTTGGTCCATCTATATCCAACATAAAATCATAATCACTTTCGACTACTTAGAGCTGTATCGTGGTTTGTACCATTTAGTACTTTGATATTTCTGTGATTTAAAAATCGTCATATCGTCATGCTATAGAACACTATTATATATTCTTCTTGTAGTTGTCATTAATACAGATTAAACAAGATATTTCTAATTTCTTTTTTTTTTCAATTAAATTTGTAATCAATTATTATTATAACAGAATAAACATTACTTATTCAGAGCTTGATATATTCGGTAGTAGGCTGATCAGTTTAAAAAAAGCATTGTTAAGTGTCTATCTGATATCTAATCCAAAATCTTTAAGCAAACAATTTCTTGTAAATCTAAAATTGGAAGTTAATATTTTAATTGTATTTTGTTGTTTATTATTATTATTATTTTGTCACATTTATCTTTACCATAATTGTCATGAATTTTAGAAAAAATAGCCTGTAACATACACTGTATATATGTGGCGAACTTTAATAAATAAATTGATATTGCTTAATTCAAAGTATTTAAAATAGAACCTTAATTAATCTATCAAGAGGGTTTGGTGACCGGATGTGGTTTAAGAGCTAATATTTAGAGAGTGTATAAACTTTAAATCTTTAAATAATTTAGCAAACCTAAGATTATTATTTCAAAATGTGTTTGGTTGAGTATTATAAGCAATAAATTTATTTAATGGTGTATATTTATCCGTGCTCATACTTCGGTGTGGGAGGACTGCTTTCCTAAGTATAGCCGTAACAACCCGTCTTTCTTCAGTGTATTACCAACGGATCCTATGCTTCTTTGGACATATAGCACGAAGAGATCCTGATAACTTCGAGAAGCTTGTGGTGACCGGTAGAGGGAAAGGCACGAATACAGGGGACAATGGCGGAAGCTATGCAACACCAACACTACCTTCAGTAATAAAGAACGCGACTAAAGGGAAAAACCCAAAGCTATTAAACTTTAAAAAACTCAAAGCCTTTTCGTAAGTTACATGAGCTAGCATGAACTAAAATTGTAGATACATTGTGTAATATTTTCACACTGGTTTAATAGCTTTTCACACAATTTACTAAAAGGTTGGAAGCTGAAATTGAAGTTTAAATTTACAAAAGAGGAACTGTGTTTATTTTAAGAATTATTTATACGTTATGGCAATTGATTTAACCATCTAAACATATCATTTGTGTTATGTAACCTATTAAATACATTTAATTAAAGGAATAGTCTATGAGCTGAAATACCCACGATCGATAATATAAGTATCTTATTCAAATGTGATATAATATTTATTAGATATACTTGTGTATAATCCAAGTAATCAACTGATCAGCAAAATGTACTGGAACAAAGCGACCGCAACAATAATACATCGGAGAGCTTTGTAGAGAATCGCTAGGAATGACAATAATTAATTAGTACTGCGTATTGTGAAGGTTTCTATTTTCAATATATTTTGTTTGAATATTTGTTATTTTGTATTGAAGAGGTTTCAGAAACTTTGTT